ATGTCTATGTCTATGTGTATGTGTATGTGTATGTGTATGTGTATGTGTATGTGTATGTGTATGTGTATGTGTATATGTATATGTATATGTATATGTATATGCATATGTGTATATGTATATGTATATGTATATGTGTATATGTATATGTATATGTGTATGTATATGTATATGTGTATGTGTATGTGTATGTATATGTATATGTATATGTATATGTATATGTATATGTATATGTACATGTATATGTATATGTATATGTTTGTACACATGTACATATGTACAGATACGCATATACATGTATATGTAGATTTGTGTACAGAATTGCACATGACATTGGCGGTAGGGCTACAGATATTGACTTTGGAACTGTATGTTAGGCTGCATGTACAAGACCGTGTCCACTCTTCCAACTTTGCTACAGCCTTTCCTGCACAACGAGGCTTACGGCAACAGCGGCAGTTTTGTAACTGCGCCCACTGCTGCGCGCCATGAGTGGTTTTTGTCCGTTTTGTCAACCTACGTTGAATATTCAAACGATCGGCACAATTCCAATGACCCGCTCCCGTCAGCCCCCAAATTTGGCTTCTAGCGATGTCCGTTCTTGTTACAACCTGCTGCCAACTCTTGGCTGCTATACTGGACCCCCAAAGCCCCATTCTCACTGACACGTAATGACCCTGAGCTGCAACCTAAACCCTACACCCCAAACCCCTGAAGCCCTAAACCCTACACATTGAACCCTCATAAACCCGCTCAAGGTTCGAAGCTGCGGAAGGTCGCCTCGCCTGCTCGTAGGTGTGCGGATCCTCGGGATCATCAGGGCCGCTGCCCCCCAAGTTATTGCACGCAAGCTTGGGCAGGGACCATCGTAGAAACAGTCGCACGCGATGGAACAATTGCGAGTATTCTTGATTACGATACACACAAGAGCAGTAAGAGCCGTGGCACGAAGCGCCATATGAAAGTATGCGTTGTGTACTGCTCTAGTGACTAGTAGTCTCACAATGGTGGTGATGCATGGTGTTGATGTTGATGGTGATGACGAGGACAGTCATGAAAGTCACGGCCTTCGGTTTGTCACGAAGAGCCGGTTTGGGTTTTGGTCGGGGTTTTGATGCTCAATTGGTTCATGCTGCCCACTGGCAACATTCCCTGCAGTTTTGCAAAGCCGAGTAGATCCAAGCAGCACTCCGCTGGGAGAAGGAAAACGCTTGCGGTCGGAACTCCAGAGGCGTACTGCTGCGCTCACGGGGATTGGGGATCTAATCTCCGTGCTCCGGCTGTCGCAAGATCCAGCGTAACAAACCTGGTGGTGGTTCACAACAGTACTCCTGCCAGGCTCTAAGAGCCAATCGTCTGTTGAATTCGCAGCTACACAATGACTGAACACCTCAAGCTAGATGGGTGCCTGTCCTGAGTTCCTGGCATCTTTAATGTGAAGATCCACAACCAACCCGCCCAACGCTTGTTTTAGGGGCTTAAGAAGTCATCGAAATCCCACACCTTTACTTGTTAGTAGCACCTGCAAGCCACAGCTCGTGATGCTCTCCTCAGGCTTTCGTGTCCGTAAAATCCGAATCCTAAGTCCTAAAGCTTAGGCTGGTAGAAAGCCGGTAAAGGTCCCGTTTAGGGGTTGGGGGTGAGGGTTTGTGTTTGCGTCATCTTCCGGGTACCGGGTGTAGGGGTCTGGGGGGTCTAGGGGTCAAGTGCTACGGGGTTGACCGCTTCGGGATCCTTGTCATAAACAACCCAGAGAGATTTTAAAGCGTACCTTTCAAGGCCGGAAAAGCCCAAAACCAAAACCTAAACCCCGAACCATCAAACCTCTTCAAGCCAGCTAGCCCTCAACCCTAAATCCGAAACCCTAAGCCTCAAAGCCCAACTACTATCGAAAACCACTTAACGCCGCAAAAAAAGAGCTCTACGTTTCCCGTTCTCGGGAACCTTAAGACGATCTACCTACAACCTCCATTGTAGTTGTTGTTTGGTTAACCAATTTTATGGTTAGGACCCTATAAGATAGGTTTTGGTTAATAAACCCCTAACCCTAAACCTTAAGCCCTAAACCCTAAGCCCTAAACCTTAAACCCTAAACCCTAAAACTATAGGTAGGGCCTTGTCCGGTAGCTTGGCTCGAACCTGGCGGACCTTCGTGGCAGGCCGGAGAGGCTGGAGCTGTGTTTGGAGGATCAGGGGATTTAGTAACTAGGGTTATAGTATCTTAATTGGGGTTATCTGTAATCATAACTATAGCTACCTTACTAATAACCCTAGTTACTAAGTCCCATGATCCTTCAAGTAGGGGCCTGAATCATAAGACTGGGCTGTTGGGCTCTTTTACTTAGTAGCTGAGTGGATAGACTTTACACTTGTTGGGGTAATATTACCCACTGTGAAATTGAAAGTCTACATTTTTTGGGGTTTCTCCCCAATTTTTTTAGTATTCTTAGACTATGGAACCTTAAGGAATAATGTAGGTAATCACCCTAGGTAGTATAGGGAGCCCCCTATCATAGGGCGTTCTCAACCCTACTTCCGGCTCTCTGAAAAGGGACCTTGCTACATCCCCAATGGTACCCCTAATCCTAACTGCCCGTGCTTGTTTTGCGTGGTTCCTGGTGTTTACATATGCTTTCAAGATGTGCCTGTCTCTCCGTCTGAGGAATTTTTAAAGGTCTTGGGCTCGGGGTTCAGGGGTTTGCGGTTCGGGTTTTAGGGGTTTGGGGTTTAGGGATTAGGAGCTTCGAGTTTAGGTTTTATTTATAGGGTTTGACGCTTACTTGGTGTTGCACTCGGCGAGTGTAGGGGTCTGGAGTCAAGGGTGCAAGGTTTAGGCTTTGCTTGGTGTTGCACTCGGCGAGTGTGAGAGTTTACGTGGAACCTGGGTTTACGGTTATAGAGTTTGGGGTGAGGGCTTCCGGTTTAGGGTGTAAATCACCGGTCCACTAGGGCCAATCAACATCTAAGCATTCAAACGCTTAACCTTAAATCCTTTCCTAGGCCCTTCAATTCTTAAACGCCCAAATCTAGCGTTGTTCGAATCCCCTTTTTTTGCGGATGTGGTGACTCATGACGACGCGTGTCACCTGGATGTACACACGCGGAAGCATCATCATGCCGACTTGCCCAGCAGCAAGCCCTTGTTCGCGGATGCGTTTCATCGCCATAACCAATGGTGCAGCAAGCGAGGAGACGGCAAGGTGGGCGAATGTTTGAGAGCTTCAGTGCACAGATTATGCCATTGAGTTTTTTTTTTCAACCTGGCTCCTTTGCTCCGTTCCGCGGCCCGGATGCTGGAACGATGCCCTCCGCCCAAACCCTAAGGATCAAGCTCCGGCCTAAACCCACTAGTATCGAGGATTAAAGGGCTGCAGGTTGAGCATAGGGGTCGGAATAGTTAGTAACAGTATGCCATTATAGGCCCTGTTACACTATCATACCTATGGTATACTCTTCCCGCCCACTTCTATTTTAAGTATGAAGGCCCCCATATTGGCTATTACAAGGTTCGGTCTTTGTGGGTTTTGGGGCTGTTGGGTTTGGGGATGGGTTTAGGGTCTAGTATTCCTGGTTACATACAACTCAAGCATACATTCCTAGTAGCTGATTAGTATGCCTTACACTTTTTGGGACACTATCAACCCCTAGTAGAACTGCACGTTTAAAGTATGTTATCCCCAGAAACGACTGACAGTGCAAACTTTTCTGGGCTTACGATATGCTAAACCGTAAAGCCTAAGCCGTAACTCGCGCTGTAAACCCTAAACCCTCTACCCTGAGTCCTCCCTATGATGGGACTTTCGGGCCTTTATGGTTGTTAGAAACCACAAACAAGGACTACGTCGGTTGATGATCTAAATCCTGCATTACCTTAAGGACCCGAGACTATGGGAACTATGGTACACTCCTTATTTTGGGTAATGCAGGATTTATGTCATCAACCGTTGGACCCTTAGGCTATACCCTAAACCCTAAAACCCAACACCCTAAACCCCAAACCCCTAAACCCTAAACCCTAAACCCAAAGGCCTTAAACTCTAAACCCCAAACCCAAAGGCCTCAAACTCCGAATCCGAACCCGGTTCGGGGTTTGGGCCTGAACTTAACCTACGAGAACCTGCCTTTCTGAGCTATAAACCCCATATTAGGGTTTAATCAGAATCTACCAAAATGTAGGGTTTAGCAGGTCTGGGTAGGGTTGATAATGAGAACCTACAAAATTAGGGTTTGGTAGGCCTGGGTAGGGTTTCGAGTTTAGGGCGCTTGGGGTGAAACCGTAAACCACTACTTGTGGGTTCAGAGCCTGAAACTACCGGAGAGCCCACGCTCGAACCGTAAGCCCTAACCCCAAACCTGTGCTCCTGTGAAGGAATTTAGTTTAAGTTACCGTAATAGGAATGCAGAGTAAGTAGTATGCAGGTGGTTGTCAAAAATATGGTCCCTTTCGGGGTCCTTCATAAAGTACAGCACCTAATATTTAGGATACCCAGAAAGGGGCCATAATTTTCAAAACTACCCATATGGTAACTGAAGTTAAGATTCCTTAATTCCTCAACAAGAACCCCCAAACCGTGGTCGGGTGGCCATGCGCACACTATTCGTGTTTCGGGTTCAGGCTGTATACGTTCTAGGGAGGGTTTTTGTTTTTCTGTTTTTTCTGGTTTTGGTGTTTTTGTTTGGGGATTTAGGGTTTAGGGGTTTGGGGTTTAGGGGTTTAGGGTTTAGGATTTTTGGTTTAGGGTTTAGGGGTTTGGGGTCTTCAGCCGTTCATGGCAAGATAGAAGTGCACCTGAAACGGGGATATGAGCACCCTGAAGTGAATCCCAGGCGCCAAAACCTTTTAGAAACCCAGTCGCCTTGAATTCAACTCTTCGACCTTTGACCTAGCAAAGATCACAACACATGAACGTCAACTCCGTAAACCATATTCCCGAACTTAACCAAACCCTCAACCCTAAGACCCTAAACCCTGAACCCTGACCCGTCCAACCTTGGGAGGAGTCATGTCAGCTTCCAAGCTAGCGCCATGGCCTTCTTGGTGTAGGTTTTTGAGATTGTGGGTTTAAGGGTTTAGGGTGTAGGTTCTTGAGCTTTTGGGTACCAGTAAGGTAGCAATAGGGACGCATAGCCTTACTTACTAAGTCCCATGATCCTGCATTTGATTTCAATCGTGCGACAGATTCCTTTCGATCGTTGTGGATTTGTTTGCCATCGGGATGCATGCGCTCGAGGAGTCGGACTATGTACAGGGTACGCGGATTTGATTCCCTGCTGTTGCGTCGTGACTTCAGGACTTTTCGGGTGTCAAGGTTTCGGGGTTTATGCGTGCTCTCGGTCCGGCTGTCGGAAATTGCCGTAGAAGCTTTCGCTATGAATGATGCCCCAAACCCTCATGGTTGGTTTGGGTGACCCTAAACCCTAAACCCTGCAAAACCCCAACCCTAAACATTTTGGCGCAGGGTTTCTGGTCTGTGGCTGGAATGTAGGGGCCGGAATGTTTGCCTTTAGGCTTCCCTCGTACGAGTATACACAAAAACTCAACAGCCCTCTCCTAATTGTTGTGGCCCCTACTCAGAGGATCACGGGACTTATTAGCTCGGGCTATAAGTAAGATAACTAGAGCCATCTTTGTCTACATTTCGGGTACTTCTAACCTTACTTACCAAATCCCATAACCCTTCAAGTAATATGCCCACCAAAGCCCGTAAAATCTAAACCTAAACCCTAAAATGCTACTGTTCAGGTCCCTTTAGTAGATTTCGACTGGGGTTCTGAACCCATATCCTTGGCTCCACTGGGGCTTCGCGAAGCCTTTACCGGGCGCACCGAAGCACAACAGCTTAGGTCTGAGGGTTTAGGGTTTAAGGGTTTTGGGTTTAGGTCTTAGGGTTTTGGGTTTAGGTTTTGGGGTTTAGGGTTTAGGGTTTAGGATTTCGGGCTCGCGATTCAGTGTTCAGGGTTTCGGGTTGAGGGTTGCTATTCTTATGGTTCAGGGTTCGGGGTCGAAACCCAGACTTCATTCCGGAAAGCTTTAAGCTTTGCGCTGGTCTCAATAATAGCTGGTAGTGCTACATTCTTTTCAGTCACGACCTAAGATTTGCAATTTATAAACTATACCACCAAGTCTCGATTCTACCGGCTTTAAAGCCCTTATGAGAGAAGCCTCGTAGAGAGGCCTTGTGGCAGCGCTAAAGGAGTACTGTAGAGGGTCTTCATGGCTTTAGACCCTGAACCTTACAGTTTCCCTAGGGTTCCTAAAGCCCCAAGGAAAACGGACCCCATAAAACCTCGAGGAAAAGGCGCTCTCCAACCTGGAGCATCGGCTTCGGGAGGTCGCTGTGGGGTTTTTGAAGCTCATGGGACTTAGTACCTAGGGGTTTAGGGCCCCTTCAAGGGATCTATAGGGGTGCTATAAGGGTTTAGGGCCCCTTTAAGGGATCTATAGGGGTACTATAAGGGTTTAGGGTGTAGAGTACCCGGAGGATCATGGGACTTAGTAAGTAATAAGGTTATAAGTACCCTAATTAGGGTTATAAGTAATTACAACTATAGTTACCTTACTTCTATAAGGGTTTCCTTACAGGTATCTATGAGGTTTAAGGTTTAGGGTCTAGTTCAAGGATTATGGGACTTAGTAACTAGGGTTATAAGTTGGCAACTATAGTTGTAATTTGAAACGCTGCGCGTCGTCCGCCTCGGCCCGGCTGTACGCGCATGCGGCGAGTGGCTACTATCTGCAGCAAGCTCTTGCAGGAAAAAAGTAACAGTTGGAATCGCACTTATAGTAAAAGTAATGTTCATAGCAACACGAAGCAGGATGATTGTGAGTAGTATTAGTAGTGGTAGTATCAGTACGAATTTTGGTGTAGTCATTCCGAAACACTGGATACCAAGACTCTCGCAAGCGGCGGGATGCCTTAAGTATGGGCCGTTGAGGCTGTGGATTTCGTGGGCGTCTTGGATTCGGGAAGCATCACAGCCTTTTCAACCACGTTACCCCCCCCCCCCCCCCCCCCCCCCCCCCCCCCCCCCCCCCCCCCCCCCCCCCCCCCCCCCCCCCCCCCCCCCCCCCCTCCCGCCCCCCCCACTCCCCTTTCCCTCCGCTCGCTGACAGGTGCGAGCTTTCGGAGTTTTCGACGACACGGGACTGCAATGTAGCATCTTTATGTGCGTCTCAGGCTTGTTTTAGACGCCCTTTCGTGGAGTAACGTGGTTGAAAAGGCTGTGATGCTACCCTAATCCAAGACGCCCACGAAATCCACAGCCTCAACGGCCCATACTTAAGGCATCCCGCCGCTTGCGAGAGTCTTGGTATCCAGTGTTTCGGAATGACGACACCAAAATTCGTACCAATCATCCTGCTTCGTGTTGCTATGAACATTACTTTTACTATAAGTGCGATTCCAACTGTTACTTTTTTCCTACAAGAGCTTGCTGCAGATAGTAGCCACTCGCCGCATGCGCGTACAGCCGGGCCGAGGCGGACGACGCGCAGCGTTTCAAATTAGCTTAGGGCTTAGGGTTCCTTCAAAAGGAGGTTTAGGGGTTTTTACGGGGGTTCCTTAAAGAGTTCTACAAGGGATCTATAGGGTTTAGGTTTAGGGTTCCTTTAAGGGATGCTGTAAGTCTTCAGGGCTCCTTTAAGGGTTCCTCTAAGGGATCTCTACGGGTTCCTTTAAGGATCTAAGGCTCCTTTAAGGCTTCATTCAACGGATCTCTAAGGATTCCTTGCTTGCAGAGTTTAGGGTTGAGGGCTTAGGGGTTTAAGGGTTATAGTATATAGGGTTTAGGGTCTTTAAGGCTTCAAGGGTTCCTTTGAGGGATCCCGAAGGCTTCCTGAAGGGGTTTCGATTTCAGAACTGAGGGTTTCAAGCTTGGGGTTTAGGGGAAATAGGCTTTGGGGTTTGGGGGTTATGAGGTTAAGGGCATATACGGGTTTAGGGTTCAAGGCTTAGGGTTTCGGGGTTATAGGGCATTTCGGCATGTCGGGGCAATGGAGTCGAATGTACGACGGTGCGCCAAGAAACTGTACAGGACAAATTCACGAACATCAAAAAGACATGCAGGAAGTAAGGGATATAGGGTTCAGGGTTTAGGGTGCTGAGGGTCTTAAGTGGGGTTTCGTCTTTTGGCTTCGAAGGTCTTAGGGCCTGGATCTTAAGTACACTTTATAGTTTTTTGCGGGCTTCAGGCTCTTAAGCATGTTGTTTTTTAAGATTTAGGGGGTTAGTTTCCCAAGTAGATCTGAAGAGCCCAAACTCTCAACCCCAAACCCGGAATCCTCAACCCTACAGCCTAAAGCCTAAACCCAACCCTAAACCTTAAACCCTTGTAGGCAAGCGTTGGGAGGTGCAGCTCTTGGGAAGGGTTTTGGTTCCTGACACTCTTCAGAGTTTAGGGTTTAGGGTTCAGGGTTCAGGGTTTAGGGCAATCCAACCCCCGAAGTGGATCTAAGAGCCTGCTGCAGGGGCCTGTACTTTGTGATGCTGTTCCTTGCAGGGATTCCTGAAAATACGTACAGAGTATGATATACCCCGAAACGCCACTGTCTTCCATAATTGTGTCTCAGAGATGGACGTTTTTTTTTTTTTTTTTTCTGGGCGACGGCCTAAGATGCCCAAAACCCAGACCCCCAGGAGGATCTGGAAAGTAGATCCCTTAACTTGGGGCCCCATACTACTATATAGGGGTGCTTTATTGGAACCCCCATTAAGGGATCTACTTTTTGGATCCTCCCGGGGGTCTGGGAAGGGACCGTAACTTGCGAAGTCGTTTTTCAGAGACGGTCCGCGGCCCAGCAGACCAAAGCCATGGTACAGGACGCTCATAATGTAGGGGCCTTAATAGTTAGAATAGCGGGTACCCTTTATAAAGTGGTTCCTTTTAGAGGGGTTTCTAAGGATTGCTATAAGGGATAGTATGGGGGTTTATTATAGGGGGCTTAAGTAATGAGAGCAGAGTTTTGGTGGCTCCTTATTATGGTTTTAGAATCTACCCAAACCCTATTCTAATTATTAAGGCCCCTACATTATACGGAGGGCGGGACTTTGGCTGCGAAAATGCATATTGTGTTTGACTCATCAAGCCCCCTATACCAGAACTTATGAAAGAAACTCTATGAATTGCCTATCGAAGCCTTGTAGAAGAAGCAATATAGAGCCGCTGAAGGGATTATCCCGTGAAGGAATGCTGTTCAAAGCATTGTAAAAGACCTTGTTTGAGAGGCATTCTTAACCATGAAGGGGTTTTGTCCTAACCGCGAGCATGTTCTGCCCTAACCATGCCAACAACTCAGTCCTATTCTTTTCACCTTGTTTTGTGGCACCCAGGACTTCACGCGGGAGATGAAGCGCACTGTCCGACAGCACCTGAAACCGCCCCTGCTCTGCAAATGTCTTTGTTGTGGAGTAGGTAGCTGTATCATATCTATCAGGGTTTATGTAGGGTGGCCCTAAGGGTCCAAGTACACCGTATTATATTACTTTCGGTCCTTTTCGGGTGCCAAAGGCCATAAATGAGGACTACATGAAGCCTCAGGGTCAGGGTTTGTTTGCTAGGGTTCTACAGTTAAGATGTCGCCAGGTGATGGTGGACCTAAGGCCAGGATTGGCGGTTTGGGTCTAGGGTTTCGGGTTGAGGGATGGGTTCAGGGTTTTGGGGGTTCAAGGTGTTAAGTTAGGGTTTCAGTGTTCAAATAAGGGTTTAGGGGCTCAGGGTTTTTGGGATTTTAGGGTTTCAGTGTTTAGGGTTTAGGGTCAGCGCTGTTGTGCTGGATTGTGCAGCAGGTGTTCAGCTCAAAAGACTTCCAGCCAGCCTTGGGTTGCTTTGTATTACGTTTTGTAAGTGGGGACGGCTTTCCTTCTTGGCGGCGATCCACAAACAGCACAACCATCAGCGCCAGCGTTACCATCATCATCGACGCGACTCTTGCTATCACCGAGGTTTCCCGGAGTACACCGTGAAAAGCTTAACGTTGTTTGAGTAGTCTGTTCAAAGTATGACGACTCCTATACTGGGTTCCTGTTACGGAACTGACTTAAACCCCAAAGCTTAAAGCCGTAAGCCCTATACCTTAAATGTGAAGGCCTCTATAGTAGTCTCGAAAGCCAAGGGTCTACGAGCGCCTCCGCGACCTCGAGGTGCATGTGCACGGCTTGGAGACCCGCCCCTTGGGCAGACAGTTTAGGGCTTAAGGTTCAGGGTTTGGGGTTTCGGGCTTGGGGTTTAGGGCTCAGGGTTTAGGGTTTTTGGAGTTTTGTTCAGCGTAACCGCTATTGTGAACGAGTTTCCTTTCGAAGAAGCACGTCTTGTTCTGAAGATTCTGTTTCTTGGCTGGTTCGAGGGTGAATTTTTTTGGAGTTTGGGGGTTTAGATTTTAGATGCGAATTTAAACAGTTTATGTGGCTTAGACAGAGGTTTCAAAATGTTGTTGGCAAGAGTTCTTATTGAGTTTAGTTTAGGTTAGGGGTTCTGCAGTGCAGCCGATGGGGTTGCGTATGGAAGGTTTAGAGGTTAGGGCCCAAAGCCTTGAACCAAAAGCCCTAAACACAGTATGGAGTTATGTGGTGTAAGCCCTGTTGGCGCAGGAGGAATCTAGGGCTATATACCTAGCATAATTTTTGCGATGATTGTGTGAATCTTTTTCCATTGTCGTTCGGTGGGGCCCCTAACCCTTAACCCGCTGAACCCCTAACCCCTAAACCCCAAACCCGAAACCCTAAACCCTAAACCCCTAAACCCTTTGAAACCCTAACCCACAAACCCTAAACCCCTGAACCCTCTGAAACTCTAAAGCCTAAACCATTCAACCCTAATCTCAGCCGCCATGGCTTCCGCCTCAACCATCAGAATCTGCGGTTCTTGCTAACACTGTGGAGGAGGTTCATGCGAGTTACCTAGCTTCTTCACAAGAGCCCACACTCCAAGTTTGCACACCCCAAACTCTTAAACCCCTAAACCCTAAACCCTGCATCCTGAAAGCTTAGAAGAAAGTTTTCGAGGAGCTTATGGGTGGTTGTCAAAATTAAGGTCCCTTTTTGGGTCCCGATTATAATACGGCACCTGTTATTTAAGGTACCCCAAAAGGGTTATTTTCCCTAAACCCTAAACCCTAAACCCTAAACCCTAAACCTCTCTCTCATATAGTAATTTAAACTTTAATATCCTTAACGGTTTTAGGTCAAGCCTTACCGGACTTAGGTCAAGCCTTAACGGACATAGGTCAAGCCTTAACGGACTTAGGTCAAGCCTTAACGGACTTAGGTCAAGCCTTAACGGACTTAGGTCAAGCATTATTGGACTTAGGTCAAGTAGGCTTTTTGTTCATTTGGCCTTGGCCCGTTAAGGCTTGACCTAAGTCCGTTAAGGCTTGACCTAAGTCCGTTAAGGCTTGACCTAAGTCCGTTGAGGCTTGACCTAAGTCCGTGTAGTGCATCAAGGTTCAAGCCTATTCTGGCAGTAGGTGGGCGGGGGGCTTCAGGGTTTAAGGCTTAGGACCAGATCATTCGCATCAAGGTTTAAGCCTATTCTGGTAGTAGGTTCGAGGGTGGGGTGGGGAGTTTCAGTAGCGAAGGTCAAAAATTAAACGGACTTAGGGCAAGCCTTAACGGACTTAGGTCAAGCCTTAACGGACCAAGGTCGAGCCTTAACGGACCAAGGTCAAGCCTTAACGGACCAAGGTCAAGCCTTAACGGACCAAGGTCAAAGGTTTAAGCCTATTCTGGTAGCAGGTTCGAGGGTGGGGTGGGGAGTTTCAGTAGAGAAGGTCAAAAATTGAATACAAAGGGTGGTTCGAGGGTGGGGAGGGGAACGACGCAGAGGCTAAAGTGACGCAGAGGCTAATGTACGTCGCTGCAGAAGCTAAACCGTAAATTTAATCCAATGTCAACACCGTTGGTTGATAGTCTTAAGTAAGTGGCTTCAGCAAATGTACGTCGCTGCAGAAGCTAAACCCTAAAATTATTAGAGCGTCAACACCCTTGGTTGGTAGTCTTAAGTAAGCGGCTTCAGCAAATGTACTTCGTTGCAGAAGCTTAACCCTAGATTTAACTTAATGTCAACACCTTTGGTAAGTAGTCTCAAGTAAGGAGCTTCAGCAAATGTACGTCGCTGCAGAAGCTAAACCCTAAATTTAACCTAATATCAACACCGTTGGTTGGTAGTCTTAAGTAAGCGGCTTCAGCAAATGTACGTCGCTGCAGAAGCTAAACCTTAAAATTAATAGAGCGTCAACACCGTTGGTTGGTAGTCTTAAGTAAAGCGGCATTTGTCGCTGCAGAAGCTAAACCCTAAAAATAATGTCAACACCGTTGGTTGGTAGTCTCAAGTAAGGAGCTTCAGCAAATGTACGTCGCTGCAAAAGCTAAACTTGAAAGTTAATCTAATGTCAACACCGTTGGTTGGTAGTTTTAAGTAAGCTGCTTCAGCAATGTACGTCGCTGCAGAAGCTAAACCCCAAATTTAATTGAATGTCAACACCGTTCAGATTTGAAAACTTCAACACCAAACCATACCAAACCGATTTTTGTTTCTCTGCAGACAAGAGCAAAACGCACATAGACGTCACCGATGTGCGTTTTGGATTTGGCCAGGTTTAAAAACTTCAAAAGCAAAGCAATTCTTGTTTCTTGCAACAAGAGCAAAACGCACATAGACGTCACCGACGTGCGTTTTGGATTTGGCCAGAATTGAAAACTTCAACACCAAACAAAACCAAAAGAAAGTCTTGTTTCTTTGCAGACAAGAGCAAAATGCACATAGACGTCACCGATGTGCGTTTGGATTTGGCCAGGTTTGAAGACTTCAAAACCAAACCATACCAAAGTAATTCTTGTTTCTTTGCAAACCGGAGCAGAACGCACATCGATGTGCGTTTTGGATTGGGCCAGATTTGAAAACTTCATAACCAATGCAATTCTTGTTTCTTTGCAGACAGGAGCAGAAGGCACATAGACGTCAACGATGTGCGTTTTGGATTTGGCCAGATTTGAAAACTTCAACACCAAACCATACCAAACCGATTTTTGTTTCTCTGCAGACAAGAGCAAAACGCACATAGACGTCACCGATGTGCGGTTTGGGTTTGGCCAGATTTGAAAACTTCAACACCAAACCATACCAAAGCGATTCTTGTTTCTCTGCAGACAAAAGCAAAACGCACATAGAAGTCACCGACGTGCGTTTTGGATTTGGCCAGATTAGAAAACTTAAAACCAAACCATACCAAAGCAATTGTTTCTTTGCAGACAAGAGCAAAACGCACATAGACGTCACCGATGTGCGCTTTGGATTTGGCCAGGTTTAAAAATTTCAATAGCAACGCAATTCTTGTTTCTTCGCAGACAAGAGCAAAACGCACATAGACGTCACCGATGTGCGTTTTGGATTTGGCCAGACTTGGACACTCCAAAACCAAACCATACCAATGCAATTCTTGTTTCTTTGCAGACAAGAGCCAAACGCACATAGACGTCACCGATGTGCGCTTTGGATTTGGCCAGGTTTAAAAATTTCAATAGCAACGCAATTCTTGTTTCTTCGCAGACAAGAGCAAAACGCACATAGACGTCACCGATGTGCGTTTTGGATTTGGCCAGACTTGGACACTCCAAAACCAAACCATACCAATGCAATTCTTGTTTCTTTGCAGACAAGAGCCAAACGCACATAGACGTCACCGATGTGCGTTTTGGATTTGGCCAGATTTGAAAACTCCTTGCTCCTTTGCAGACAAGAACAAAACGCACATAGACGTCACCGATGTGCGTTTTGGATTTGGCCAGATTTGAAAACTTCATAACCAATGCAATTTTTGTTTCTTTGCAACAAGAGCAAAACGCACATAGACGTCATCGATGTGCGTTTTGGATTTGGCCAGATTTGAAAACTTCAAAACCAAAGCAATTCTTGTTTCTTTGCAACAAGAGCAAAACGCACATAGACGTCACCGATGTGCGTTTTGGACTGTGACGTCATCATTTGAGGTTTCTCAGATTGATGAACAAGTTTGGAACGACCTCAAGATCGCCCTACGAGAACTTCATCCCGGTTCATTGATACTTTTCGTGGGTGACTTCCAGCAACTCCAGCCCGTCCTTGGAAAGCCACAACTCCAGCTTGATCTGGATAGGCAGGTCCGAGATGGAACTGTAGATCGCATTGACCTGAAGAATCACCAGTTCGCCAGATCCATAGATGCAGACATGTTGGAGTTCCTCACCAAAGTCCGCGAGCAACAACCCACCAGGCACGAGTTGGAGGAGTTCTTCGCTAACAGAATTTGGCGCTGCGATCTCGCCGAAGCAACCGTCCAGGCAAAAACATGGGAGACAGCTGCCGATAAGAGCTTCATGTTCCTGACGCTCACTAACAAAGCCGCCTCGGTCCTGAACCGTGCTCGCCTTGCCCTGGATTTTCCTACAGAGGCTGAACTTCTGGCCAAGAACGCCGGCATTCCCGCAGAAACCGACCAGATTGTGCTAAGCTCAGCAATGAGAGTGCGATTGACCTATAACGTGAACAAGGAGGAGGCTTTGTCAACGGCAACCATGGCGTCGTACGCTTACTGCTCCGACGAGATGTGTTCGTCATGCAAAGCTCCCAGAACCAGTCCGTGCTGGTTTATTTCATCACGCTACGAGGACGCAAATTCCTGCCCGTAGCTTACGGCTACGCCGCAACCATGAGGCGAACTCAAGGAGCCACGCTGGACGGCGTCGGCCTGTGGTTTGACAGGCGCTTGCCAGACCGCGGTTACGCCTACGTCGGAGCATCTCGTGCAAAAGTGCGCTTGGCAGTGTTTCACTTGGGCAAACTCCGACGAACCGACTGGCTACCAGTGGGCCAAGCAGGCGATCACACCGAGCTTTCAGTAAAGAGCGAGTCTACAGACGCGGAAAACGACATCTTGAGGAAGAATCCGCCAGCCCGGAGCCGTCAACAAGTGATTTCGATCAGTCTCCCGACATGTGAGACTTCACTTCCTGCACATATCTGATTGCAACAACAAGTTTGTGTAGCTACTTCACTTCGCGATTCGATCATAGTCGTTTATCGCCACCAACAGCTGCGCTTGATAGTCTGCGACTGAAAAGCACGCCTGCCTGTGTTCACTCTGTGCTGTACCTGTGTTTCCCAATAAATGCCGTCCGCTGCAAGGTCAACGACCTCGAGAACAGCAGGCTCCTGGTCGCCGGCTAAACTCAGGAGCATCGGCATCAAGAAGCTAATAAATTTTAGGTTTAGCTACTGCAGCATGCTAAGCAATGCCGTCCGCTGCAAGGACAACGACCTCGAGAGCATCAGGCTGTGCTGCAACAGTGTTGACGCTCTAATAATTTTAGGGTTTAGTTTATGCAGCGACGTACCTCTGCTGAAGCCGCTTACTCAAGACTATCAACCAACTCTCAGAACATCTGTCTTCTACAGCTGCGCCCCTCCAGGGGTCAAAGCATTTTAACGACTGTAAGGCAACAGCACTGTGACCTTGTTGTTTGCAGCAATGAAGTGGATATCAGCGGACACACTCCGATGTGGAAACATTGAAAGACATGACATCGAATTCGAAAGCTGTGGTTGCTATCGTGAAGCGATGTCGTGACCGCAGCCTCAGTTGTTTCGGTCAGTGCTTCCTTTCACAAAAGTGGTAGATGTTAACGATGTTACTGTTGTGCTAACGTGCGGTACAGGTAGTTTAAGTTAAAAACGAAACGAACCTTTGTATTTCCCCGATGTTATGGGATTCTGAGGGTGGGTGGGTGTTATTCCTAAACCCTAGACACAACACTACTTAAAACTGCTCGATCCGGAGCTGCTGAACCCTAAACCCTTATACCATGCCCCAGGCCCTCCACCGCCACCGCTTCTCCACGCGGACTCTTGAGCTTCTGGTTCAGGGTTTGCTAGAGATCAAGGTCGTTAGGGCTTACGGTTTAGTTTAGGGTTTAGGGAAAGGGCTCCTTAAAGGGATCTATAGGGTTCCTAAAGGGATCTATAGGGTGTAGTTTAGGGTTTAGGGTCTACTTGGAGGATCATGGGATTTACTAAGTATGGTTATAATTACCTGAATAGGGGTTATAAGTAGTTATAAGTATAGTTACCCTAATAATGACCTTAGTTGCCAAGTCCCATGATCCTTTAAGTAGAGATCAGGGTCGAGGGCTTACGGTTCAGTTTAGGGTTTAGGGCCTGGCGCTTAGGGTTTAGGGTTGACGGCTTAGGGTTCAGGGGTTTAGGATTCAGGGTTTCGTAGAGTTTGCGGTCTATGGCAGGGGTTTTTGGGGGTTTGGGGTTGAGGGTGGGTCCAGAGTGTGTTCGTGGATTGAGGGTGTGTTTTGCTTGGTGGCTGAATGGGTAAGATGGAAACCGGGGTTGCCGTAATCCTGCCATATGGCTGACCTCGTCTGGGTCAGGGAACTCAGCGAGAAAGTTCGTGAACCCAAACTCTTACAATTATAATTACAACCAACGACAGAAACTTCCTAACCTGAAGCTAAACCCTAAATCCCTCAACCCCTAAACCCTGAACCCTATAGTCCTAAACACAGATATTACATGCTTCCCGCAGTCGCGGGCTTCATAAAATGCGACGGCTGAGCAACCTTGGAATCCCGGAAACTACAGAGGTGTAGGGCTTAGGGTTGAGGGTTTCACGTTTAGGATTTAGGGTGGTTTTCGGCCTCAAACCCTAAACCCTAAAGCCTAAACTATCCTGAAACCCTAAACCCTTAACCCGAAACTATCCTGAACCGTAGAAACCCCGAGACTACCAAAGATCTTTGACCGCAGCATCCCCGGGTGGAAATTAATTATGGGAACCCTTTAAGGGTTCCTGTTGAAGGGGTCTTTAAGGCTTACTATGAGGGGTAGTATGGAGTTTTAGTATAGGGGCCTTAATGATTAGAATAGGGTTTTGGGGGATATTATATTATACTTCCACTGAAAAGAACCCTTAAAATAGTTTAATACGGCGTCTCTTCTGGTTTTCTATTGCCGTGTACTATTGTGAAGATGCTATTTCTTTAGTTGGCTACTGTTTCTCTTCTGAGCTTCTAACTATGTTCCGAAGTAGCACTAAACTCTTCTAAACCCTAAACCTTAAACCGCGAGGACACGGGCATCGAAAGCAAGGGCATCGAAAGCAAGGGCATGTCTACGGCTGGCTCTAAGAAGCTGGAGGACCGTGGGATTTCGGGTTTAGGCTTTAGGGTTAAGGGTTTAGGATGGTTTAGGGTTTAGGCATTTAGTAGGGTTGAGGGCCAGTTCAGGGTGCAGGGTTTCGGGCTTAGGGCTTTGGTGTAGGCTTTGCAGTTCAGGGTTTAGGGATGGCTTACCCAGAGAGCCCAATACCCCTTAATTAAGGAATATGGCTTTAATTATATAGGGCTTCATATTATGATTTAAGCCATATTCCTTAATTAAGGGTATTAGAATCCCTTAAACCCCAAACCTTATAGATCCCTTAAAGGAACCCGATTATTAGGCTCTCTGGCTTGGGGCTCAGGCTAGTTTTGTTTAAGGCTGCCAGAAGCATCCGGGAGCTATCCCAAAGTTTGTGAGGGGATGCTGTTGATGCGTCCGGAAACTAGGGTTTAGGGTTTAGGGCCCAGGGTTTAGGGTTGAACGCCTTGACCCCTAACCCCTAAACCCTGAACCCCAAACCGACTGGAGCGACGGCAAGATGCTTTATCGACCGATGTCCGAGTAAATAGAAGCCTGCATGCTTACAGATACTACTTCTTAGAGCTCCTTCTTATTATGTAACGTAGGAATCTTGAACCCCGATTCAGATTCAGTGCCGAAGAAAGTTGTAAGGTGAGGGCGGCTAAGCTCTACCGTCGCGCAGCTGCTACTGTCGGATGGAAGAAATAGACTTTGCTGGCGTTAAGTCTGCTTCTCCATGCTTCTCCACGACTTTGTTGCTTTATGTCCCTAAACCCTAAACCCTACCTAAACCCTACCTGTATCTATGCTTTTTGAGCTTTGGACTTCCTATCTTCTGTCTATTGAATATTGCTTTGGTGGGTGTCGAGGTCATACCAGTTTACTTTAAGGTTTAGGGGGTATCAGTTTACCGACATCACCAGAATTGATCCATAAGTATGGGCATATATGGGCTGAAGGTAGCACTAATTGGAAGCTTCCGCGCGTTTGCAAATCGGCGGGACCGTGTAAAGACTCCTCATACAATTTGTGCAAAGCGGCGGTGTGTTCCGAGGCGCTCTAAGGCTACCAGCAAGGAATCATCAAATGCCCACCTGTCGCAAAAGACATAATAATCCTCTAACAGCGGCTCTTTGTGTGCTTGTAGACGACGCCGCAGACCACAAAAGTCAAAGCAGACCCGGGTCATACGGCCTGCGAATCCTTAGCTGAGGCCCGGAGGGCCTGCAGTAATCCTCAGCCCTGGGTTTGGAGTACCATACTTGAATACTTTTTTTGTTCCTGCTCTTTAATGGAACCATTATGAAATAAACGTCTACACATTTTTCTTCCTGGTTGCTTCAAAGTCCCGTGGCACAGAGAGCCCAGAGGAGGATCATGGGACTTAGTAACGAGGGTTATATAAGTAAGGTACCTATAGTTATACTTATTACTTATAACCCCAATTAGGGTACTTATAACCTTACTTACTAAGTCCCATGATCCTCCAAGTAGCGCAGTGCCAATGGCGAAGCGCACGAACAACAAGTGGCTCAAATTGTTCCTTAGTTCCTTTAAAGGAACCCCCCTATAGATCCCTTTAAAGGAACCCCCTATATGTGCCAGCATCCGCGCACCCCCCCCCCCCTCCCCCCCCCATGGTAATCCCCCTCCCCCCCCCTGTGGTTCCTGTGGTTCCCCCCCCCCCTGTGGTTCCTCTTGGTTTTCCCCCTCCCTTTTGTGGTTCTTCTGGTTCCTGTCTCCCCCCTCCCCCCCTGTGGTTCCTGTGGTTCCTCCGCGTGGTTGCTGCTGCTTTGTTGTTGCTGCTGTTCTTCTTCTTGTTCTTGTTCTTGTTCTTGTTGTGTGGTCGCCCGGGTCGGGGGGGGGGGATACCATTGGGGGGGGGGGGGGGGGGGTCGAGAACGCGGAGCGCGGGCACATATATGCCCCTTCAAAGTAGGGTTTAGGGTTTACAGTAAGCCCCCCAAAAGTTGGAAACCGGATTAGGGCCAAATAGTGCTGGGATTCCCTATACAATACTCTTCAGGATCGAGGCTATTGGGTTTTCCGACTGTTGGGCTTCTACTACTGTTGTAATACCGAAGCTGCAAGTTTTTTGCGCGAGCCGAAGCCCTAAACCCCTAAACCCTAAACCCCTAAACCCTAAACCCCTAAACCCTAAACCCCTAAACCCTAAACCCCTAAACCCCTAAACCCCTAAACCCTAAACCCCTAAGCCCTAGCCCCTAAACTTACAGAAAGGAACGGTATATGGGGCCCCTGCTTTTCCACACACTGTTTTGGGATGTTTTGTGCCTTGTCACTACAAGTTTCCGTCTTGTAACCTCTGCCGAACGAAAAAACGGTTTAACATGGACACGCAAACTCAAAACATCTCTATGGCAACGAGAATGATACTTCATTTCTTCTGCTGTAAAGGATGATGTACCCAGCATGCCTGCTGGAAACCTGCATGGGGTAAGAAAGATGGAATCGGCCTGCATATAGCAGCCTTCGTTGCAAGCATGCCGTCTGCCGCAAGAACCATGCAAGAGCTGACGAAACAAATGCCCCCGGAAGCATAACTTTCAACCCCAACCCCTAAACCCTAAACCCAAACCCCCAAACCCCAACTTCGGAATGCTTTGGACATGGGGGTCCGCGGCCTTATGCCCAAATCGCTGGGCCTTTTGCAGGACGACTCCGAAGACAGCTTTCCCTTTGGGCAGGTGGCTGCGTTGCTTTCTTGTTTGACGGGCTCATGGTATGGGCGCCTTAATGATTGGAATAGGATTAGTTAAAAGGTTCCTGTAAGGGTTCTAGAAGGTATTTAGAGTTGAGGGTTTTACTTGGTTTACGAATTTTAGGTAGGCTGTTTTTTGTTCTTGCATTGCGGTTTCTCGTACTATTTGGGTGTCCAAGCATAGGTTGTGTTGCCTGGCCAAGTCTTGAAAGTAGGGCTTCTTTTGCAGAGCTGCCTACCATTTTCAGGGTTCCACCAGTTCTACCGTGTAGTTATTTGAGGGGTCATAGCCGACAATTTTGCAGGGTTGGAGGTCACAGCTAACCGTTAAACCCATGTTGTGCTGTCGGTGCCTGGGTTGAAATGCGCCTGTAGCCTTTGTTGCGATGCGGTGTCTGTAGCGAAGGGGCTCTTGTTTTTTTTTGTTCGGCTGTGGCTTCTCAGGAAAATAGATCTTGCTTGCGTTCTTTTGGGTGCCTAAACCCTAAAGCCCTAAACCCTAAACCCTAAAGTCTAATTATTGGGTTCGGAATAATTAGGCTTTCAAAAGGGGCTTCAACGGGTCCTAGATCTTCCTGATGGTGCCAACTCCCCCTGGATCTTTCGTCTGGGGTCACGGTTTAGGGTTTAGGGTTGAGGGTCCTTCAGCCCTGAAAGGATTTACAGTAGAAGCCCAAAAGTTGGAAGCCCAATAGCCTCAATCCTTAAGAGTAATGTATAGGGAATCTCAGCACTACTTGGCCTTACTCCGGTTTCCAACTTTATGGGGTTCACTATACAGAATGCAATCCTGCAGCAGCAACAACGTGCCATTGTATGCACTGAAATGGGGTCGGCATCAGGGTTTGAGGTTTCCTGAACCTGAACCGAGGACCCTTTTCCTGTGCCAACACCCCATTCTGAGGAATTGAGGTCTGCTTGGTATGGGAGTTATGCGCTGAGTGGTTGTGCTAAGATTTTGCTGCCATACTTGAAGGATCACGGGACTTGGTAGCTAAGGTTATTATTATTGTAACTAAACTTTTAACTGCTTATAACCCCAATTAAGGTACTTATGACCATACTTAGCCCAAAGCCCCTAGAAAGGACCAAAGACTAGATACCCCATTTTGGACCCCCTCTCACTACCTACAGCTACCAACTGGTATTTGTGGGATCCCCCTGAGCGGGTCTACTTGTTGGAGCCGCCCAGGGCTCGGGGAAAAAACAAACCCTGAAAAGAACCCAGAGACTCCAATTTCCCTTAATTAAGGAATATATTCCTTAAAGCATATAAGGGATCCTACTATAATTTAAGGTATAATACTTAATTAAGGGATATTGGAGTCTCTAGGAACCCTAAACCCCTCAACTCCCTAAACCCTAAACGAATCCTTGAAAGAACCCTTAAGCGCGACGGCGGAGCAGGTAGTCAATATTGATCTTGACGCCGCCATTGCTGAGGAGGCAAGCTAAGCTTACAAGCCATTCAGAGCCCCTAACAGGGTTCTCTTGAAGGGTTTAGGGTTCAAGGCCCTGGCGGTGTGCATCTGCGAGTATTTTGCGATTTAGGATTTAGGGTGTAGGGTTCGTTCAGGACAAGTCTTGTTTTCAAGCGCATCGCATGTTTAAGGTCCCCCATACTCTCACGAACCTCAGCCGGAATTCATTCGCCCTATAGCTAAACCCCGAATTCCTAGGTGGGGCTTTGGGACATTTTATATTTTCCCTTATTGGGCTTAAGAGGATCTTATTTACTAACATTTTTCAAAAGGGTCAAAAGCCCCACCTAGATTCAACACAGAAGACCTCGAAAATGAAGCAACAGAATCTTTGCACTGAAGTTTCAGCCCTTGAGCCCCGGGAGGATTTAGAAGAAAGGGTTTTAGGGTTTAGGGTTTAGGGTTTAAATTGTTAAGGAATATACTTTTTGGACTTTCCCAGGGGTCTGGGTTCTGGATGTCCACCGACCTGGACGGCAAAACCGAAAGAAGCCTTCGCCACTCCCGCATGCAGAACTAATATTCATTTACTTAGAGTCCCTACACCCATGTAGTATGAGATAGCCCGAAACCCTGTTCTACTATAAAGGCCCATATGCTTCACCCCCATGCAGGTTTACCCTTGTTTCGAGAGTCATGGGTTCTTGTAATCATGCACGAACCGCTCTAAGCCGAGTGTTCCCCAAAGAAGGTTCTAAGATCACATACATCGCCGGGCAGAAAGTTTGGACCCACTTGTGCATCATGTTACACACAGGCTCTTGCGGAGTAGCGGAGTACCTCAAAGTGTCGTTTGCCCTACGCAGGCCAGCGGAGTAGTTACTACCCCGTTTAAAAATATTTTACTTTTTAGTTCCAACGGAGCCCCCAAGGCTCACTTGTGTTAGGAGTCTATGGGGAAGAGGGTGGAGGTCCATGTCTTGTAGCATGTTGAAGCTAGTGGGTCGAACTATCGGCCCGGCGCAGCCTCCATTTTCGAGGCAAGAGTCCCCTCCTTTGCAGTCCTGGTGAGAGCTAAGCCCCCGAACACTTTCACCCCGGTGTTGCTTGGGGTGGACTCTGGCACCCAAAATTGACGCTGCGGTAGGACGAAAGTTTGACCTACTCCTTTCGTCGAACACAGGCCCCCATTCCCCCATAGAATCCTAACAAGCAGGACCAACCGGCTACTCCTCCGGAACATTAAAGTAGTATAATTTTAAAACGGGGTATAAAATGCTCCGCTGGCCAGGCCACGTAAATCGCACTTTTCGGTACACCGCTACTCCGCAAGACGTCTTAAGACAAGAGAGATCCAGTAGGTCAAAACTTTTGTCCTCCCGATGCCTCACCGGGACCTTTTCTGTTCAGCAAACCTCGCCAAACTTGTTGCTGTGACCTCATGACCTCCTTCAGGTCCCCTTTAGACAGTCATCCCCCGTCTAAGAAACGATTCAGGAGGCATCGCCGGGCCGAAAGTTTGGACCCACTTGTGCATCATGTTACACACAGACTCTTGCGGAGTAGCGGAGTACCTCAAAGTGTCTTTTGCCCTACGCAGGCCAGCAAAGTAATTACTACCCCGTTTTAAAAATATTTTACTTTTTAGTTCCAACGGAGCCCCCAAGGCTCACTTGTGTTAGGAGTCTATGGGGAAGAGGGTGGAGGTCCATGTCTTGTAGCATGTTGAAGCTAGTGGGTCGAACTATCGGCCCGGCGCAGTATATTCCGCCGATTTTCCCCGCTCCTGTCCGTACAGTCGTCCATGCACACTGGTCAGGGTCGAAGTAGCAGCATCATTTTCAGTACCTTAGCGGCTAGGTTTTCTTTAGTAGGATATTTACATAACGCTGCCACAACTAAAAGTGGGGCTACTTGGAGGATCAGGGGACTTAGTAAGTAAGGTTATAAGTATCCCAATTGGGGTTATGAGTTACTAAAGTATAGTTACCTTATTGATAACCCTAGTTACTAAGTCCCATGATCCTTTAAGTAGGGTTATTGGGTCCTGAGTTGGCAGTGTTTACAGTCGTTAGTGTTTTGGTTGGCTGTGGGTTTCAGGCTATCTGGGCTCGGCGATGCCAGGATCCCCAAGAGATCAGTGCGCTTTTAAAGGAACAACCTTGAGGTTTTGGCTTTAGGGATGTTTAGGGTAGATGCTTGTCCAGTGTATTCGCGTTAAACAGGGTGACCCCGAAATAGATTCAAGAATTGCTAGAAATATATGAGGGCAGCAATCATTAGACCGGCATTCATCCTTATTTCGCTCCCTGATCTTTCTTGGGATTTTAAATGCTAAGTGGGTTCATCCTACTTGCAACCCCTTAGCCCTAAACCTTAAACCCTGAACCCTAAACCCTTAGTAAACCCTTGGTGGCCTTGCCTAAACCCTAACCCCCTAAACCCTAAACCCTTAGTGGCCTTGCCTAAACCTTAAACCCTAACCCTACGCCCTTAGTGGCCTTGCCTCAACCCTAACCCCCTAAACCCGACCCTGCCTAAACCCTAACCCCGAAACCCTAAACCCTTAGTGGCCTTGCCTAAACCCCAACCCCCTATCCCTAAACCCTAAACCCCCTAAACCCTAAACCCTTAGTGGCCTTGCCTAAACCCTAACCCCCTATCCCTAAACCCCTAACCCCCTAAACCCTAAACCCTTAGTGGCCTTGCCTAAACCCTAACCCCCTAACCCTAAACCCCTAAACCCCCTAAACCCTAAACCCTCAGTGGCCTTGCCTAAACCCCAGATGGACCGGCTCTTCAGGCTTTTGGGACAAAGTCGCTGGATCTCTCGCAACATTCGCGAGCAGTCCGCATTGGGGGATGCGTTTTTTTTGTTTTTTTTCATCGTAGGGGTTTAGGGTTTAGGGTTTAGGGTTTAGTTGTTGTTATCGTAGGAACCGTCGTAATAGGTAATGGCGGGAAGTTAGCACTAACAGGATATCGGCACAGCAGTAGAAAGAATAGCAATAGTAACAGGAATAGTCATAGTGGTATCCATTCTAACCGAAATAGCAGCAATACTGGTGATGGGAGCAGTAGTAGCAATAGCAGTAATTGTATTGATTGTAGCACAGAGAACAGTAAATAGTACCAAGAGTTGTATGTTCAATAATAGTCAGAAGAGCATTAATCGCACTAAGACTGATAGTAGTCAGAGTACTACTCATAATTTTACTGATGGTACTGTTATTACTTGTTTTTAGTCACTGTATCAGGATTCATATTTCTAGTGTTCAGGTTCCAGCCCACCACGTAGATCAATTTGCCTACTGCTTCAAGGGTCCCACCCAGCATACTTCAGGGGTCATAACCTACTTTCTTTTGGGGCTTGAGTGTAGGGTTCAGGGCTGATGACCACCCTTTTCGGGTTTGGGGCTGGAGTGCCCAGAGGAATACCGTGGTTTGGAGCGTGGAGTGTCAGTGCAAGCAGCCTCCCTGAACGGACAAATTCTCTGAGCTCTCTGGTTTCTGCTTCCTAAATCATCAGCTCTCAACACTAAGCCTCAACCCAAAATTTTTGGCTTTCTTGGCTTCAGCGAACCGAGCTCCAAAGCGCGCGCATGCATTTAGGGTTTAGGGCCTACTACCAGAAGTGGTCAAAGGTGTGATCGAACCGCGATGCACGTCTAGGCTTCTGGTGCTTCTTCTCTTCTTGCTCTTTGGTTGTGGCCAGATCCCACTGAGGCTGAGGATATGGCTTGGGTACGGCCCCCACTCAGTAATAGTTGAATATAATTCATAAAATAGATATATTAGGACCTTAATAGTAGCCCTATTATAGACAATTACTGTATGGGGGCCGTACCCAAGATATGCCTGTCCTTGGGAGTTGTGTGTTTAAGCTCGGTCGCAGGGTCTGGGTACACACACGCACATAATATTTTTAATGTTTTATATATATATATATATATATATAAGTAAAAATATAAATAGAAATACAAATACAAATATATATATATATATATGTATATATATATATATATATATATATATATATATTTTTTTATGTATAAATATATAATGCGTATAATCTAACTTGTGTATGTATGTACATGTTATACAGAGTTTAAGGAAGGGCTTCACCTTTCATACAGCGCATCTAAACAACAGTTTAATGGCTACACATGTTTCTGCACAGATGCTGTAATTCCTTTCAGGCCAGAATCCAAACCCGTACTCATAAAACCCCAAACCGCTACCCCAAACCCCAACCCTAACCCGGAGCCCGAAACATTCAGCCATGACGCCCAAGCTCTAGACCGTGAGTCAAAACCAAGAACCGTCAGCCCGAAACCAGCAGCCCGAACTCCCCCTATCCCAAAGCACTAAAGAGTGAAAGCTGCAACATCGACCTGAGATTGCCACGCGCGACTCCTAGAAGCCCTAAGCCCGTCTTAACCGCAAACAACTGAACCCATAAACACCTAAACCTCAAGCCTCCAAACCCTAAGCTTGAATCCGCAAACCCTCAAGCCTTAAAACCCAATAACCTAATTGGGGTTATAAGTAACTATAACTATAGTTACCCTATTTATAACCCCCATTACTAAGTCCCATGATCCTCCAAGTAGACCCCAAACCGTAAACTAAACCCTATAGATCCCTTTAAGGAACCCTAACCCTATAGATCCCTTTAAGGAGCCCTTTAAGAAGCCTTACTAAGTCCCATGATCCTCCAAGTAGATCCCTGAACCCCAAACCCTGGAGCCCTAAACCCCAAGCTTGATTTCAAGAAGCCCTAAACCCTAAACCCGAAACCCTAAACCCTAAACCCTAAAACCCTAAAACCCTAAACCCTAAGCCCTAAACCCTAAGCCCAAAAACCCTAAAAATCCTAAACCCTAAACCCTAAAAACTGATTTCAAAAAGCACCGGATCTTTGTTATAATACGACACCTAATATTCAGGGTACCCAAAAAGGGACCATAACTTTGACAACCTCCCATTTCAAGAAGCCCCGGATCTTCGTCTGAGGCCACCTGCAACGGATGCAAAGAACATCTCTGGCCGCCTGGCAGAGTCTGAGACGATGTTGATCTCCATGGTTCTATAATACTACTTTGGGGGTTCCTTTAAAGGTCCTATTTTTTTGATCTAAATGGTTACGGTTCGGGGTTTTAGAGAGTTTAGGACATTTAGGGTTTAGGGATTCAGAGGGTTTAGGGTTTAGGGTTTAGGGTTCAGGGTTTAGGGATTCAGAGGGTTTAGGGTTTAGGGTTTAGGGCTTAAGGTTCAGGGTTTAATATAGGGGCTTAGGTAGTTGCCTATACTGTTTTTTGGGTTCGTTATTGAGGCGCCTATATGACCCCAAGACCCGAAACCTTAAGCCCTATTATAGCCTTTAAAGGGCTCCTATAAGGTATCTATAATAGGGTTCTATGATATAGGGGCTTAAATATTTACCTATACTGTTTTGGGGGTTGGTTCCTTTTTATAAGTATTATAGTATCATGGGGCCCAAAACCCTATTCTAATTATTGAGGCCCCAATATTACCGCAAGACCCGAAACCTTAAGCCCTATTGTAGCTCTATGGGATTCATAAGATTGCTGAGTTTCGCAGGGTTTCATATGGCTGTAGGTCTCGTATGAGGGAGGGGGTTTAGGTTGCGGTATTTGTAGGTTGTGGGCTCGTGTGTTGCAAGGAGTTCTGAGGCTGAGGGCTTGAACATATCAAAATCTGAAGCTTTCATCCGCAGAGCCCAAAGCCTTAACCCCACATCCTAGATCGATCCAAGCCATGCAGGAAGGACTCTCCCTATATGTATACATACATACATATATATATATATATATGTATATATATATATATATATGTATATACATACTGTTGTACATGTATGTTTCATTAGAGTTTAGAGCTTAGGCTTAAAGAACACTATTCATCGAAACCCCATCGGAATGAGACTCCAGGACTTTTTCCCTAAGGCCTGAACCCTAAACCCCCAGAGATCCCTTATATAAAGGAACCTTTAAAAGGACCCCCTTGCGGAAAAGAATCCTTAACACTAAATCCCGAAGAACCCTAAACCCTAAACCCCCATAGATCCCTCCTTTAAAGGACCCCTTCCAGAAAAGAACCCTTAACCCGTTAAACCCGAAGAACCCTGAGGCCTGATCCCGCCGCCTGACCCCCTCGTGAAGCACGCCGAGCTGTCAGCCAACATCGTTTCCATGCAGGTGGGTGGGCCAGCACCCCCAAGTACCCTTTAATAGAGCACCCTAAACCCTAAACCCTGAACCCCCAAACCTAAACCGGATGAGATGTCGTTCATGGATAGAGGTAGCCACAGGGACACTGAACGACGCGGGCGAGATGGCCACGACTACTCCAGGGTGAACTCACGGTGGCTGTTGAGAAACAGGACAAGGACACCGGAGGGGCGGGCGACAAACCCTGTATCCAAGCCCATGCCGAGACCGAGAGCGCCTTGCATCACCAGAGAGACCAGGGTGCTGAGACCGCCACGGGGCCACCAGCAGCAGTGATCCCACTGGAAGTGTGGCGGCCGGGGGAGGTGTGGCCCTGAGACCGGCTGAGCCTGCGGTGGAAGCGGCAGGACCATTGGAAGAGTTGCAAGCGGTGGACGCATGGAGGTTCTTGCTGGGCATGGACCCAGAAAGCTTTCAGGAAAATGTGGATGTTGTGGCTGCTACACCACCGCGCCCTTTGCTCCCACAGTACTCCTCTGAGATGATCACTGAGACTATGGCAGGCTACAGTGAGCACGACAGGATGGTGATGACGATCAGCTTTGTGCGCTTCATTCGCATGCTTATGTCGGAAGTGGCGGCAGCGTTTGAACGTGGTGTACAAGCTGGGGCTGCGAGTGTACGCAATGAGGTCCTAGTTGATGTCGAGGTGGAGCGTGATGACAGCAGCAGCCTCATGCAGCGGACCCTGACGGGACAGTTCTTGGGTAAGCAAGGCATGCGTGAAGCATGGACACAGAGAATCCAGAACCTCCAGGGGGAACTGGCGGGACAACCTGGGGGAGTGAGGAATGCTAACATCGAGGGTCTGCGAGCTCGCTTGGACAGGCACACTGAGGTGGACCAGAGCCAGAGAGACATGTTGGTTGCAGTATTGGTGGCGATGGAAGAGGCAGAGGTTATCGGCACCACCGGGGATGTAGGATGGCAACTGCGCATGTGGAGTATGCTCTTCCCTGTGGAGGATGGGGTACATGAGCCCAACTGCCCAGGCTCCTCTACAGATGGCTTCGGATGGGCGGTACCGGATCCTGACTTGAGTGACAGGGAACTGCAACAGTTGGCAGAGGATGAACGGGAAGAGCAACGTGGCAAGGCGAAAGAAAGGGCAAGGGCCATGGCGGAACAGGCTGCAAGGGAAACCGAGGAGGCAGAAGAGCTGGAGTACAGGGTAGGCTTGGGTGAAAATGAGAAGCCGGTGCAGCTATCACCCTCGGCTTTCAAGCAATGGGAGGATTGGGAGTGGCATCAGATCATGGTGGGTCCTCAACCCAAGCGGCAACGTACTGTACTGGTGGCGACCATGAATGGCAGGCCTACGGCGCATGGACCCTGGCTCAGCAAGACTATGAGGCTTCCGTTGCCGGCCTCCGGGGAGATCCCGGCGGTGGACCTACGGGTGAGGTTTGAGCGAGAAGAATTCCCAGACAATGTGGACACGCTCAAACTTGGGAGCAGGCAGGATGTGGGCAATGGGCAAACGAACCCGGACGAGCAGGACACCCTCCCGTATGAGACTTACAAGGACCTGGACCCGGAGACGGAAGTACCCACGTGCGAGGCTACACAAAATGAAGCTACGCAAAATGAGGACTCGAATGCCGGCAGGAATGAGGATCAGAATGTGGACGAGAAGGTCAAAGACGGGGCAGAGAGTGGAGCAGGGGTGGGCAGTCCGGTTTCGGATGCAGCGGCTTCAGAGCTGCAGGATCCTGATGGTCACTTGGAGGGTTCGATGTCGGCCTTGGACTTCAAGGACTATGAGGTGCTTTATTTGAGGTGGAAGAGGGGCAACCTAGACAACAACGATGTGATCGCTATTGGAGGGCAAGGGTTGCTGGAGTTGATGGAAGCACAGTATGTACTTGACACAGAGACGCAGGACCTCGAAATGAATGATATCTCGAACCTCGAAATGAAGGGCTTGTGAACATGCATCAACCTTACTCTATGGATGGTCGAGTAAGTGTACTACCTGATCGAATGGAATGGGGTAGTAAAAGAGCCTGTCTCAAATGAGACTTTCGCTGGATCATGCAGTCGGAAAAAGGCCCTTAAAAAAAAAAAAACCCTAAACCTTATGGTCCGTAAAAGTGGGTATTTAGGGTAGAATAGAGGGCAGTTGGTGGGTGCTGGGGGTCCCTGAACCCTGAACCCTAAAACCTAAACCCGAAATCCTAAACCTGAAACCTTCAACACCGTAAACCCCAAATCCCTAAACCCCTAAACCCGTTGAGGAGATCTGCTGTCGGGAGCGTAAAGTTTAGGATTCGGGGGTTAGAGGGATTAGGATTCAGGAATTAGGGTTCAGGGCTCAGGAGCTAGGGATTTAGGGTGTCGGGTTGGGGCTTCATGGTTTTGGGGTTGAGGCAGTGACACGACCGCAGCCCTAAGAGTTCGAACACAGTGCCCATGGATATGTGAGCCCGGCACCAGTTTGTGGGATTCGCTCGACGTTGCAATGTGCAGGGCTGTGGAATCGAGTATTTTTCCGATCTCAAAAAAGCCAAACCCTGAACCGTTGAAACCCCAAACAAGAGGCCCTAAGCCCTTAAGCAAACAAACATAGGCCCTAGAACCTTACAGCCCTAAACAGCAACCCTAAGCGATTAATTTCGAGATCGTAAACCCAGAATCCCGAACTATGGTTGATGATATAAACCCTGCATTGCCTTAAAGACCCTAAACTATGGGAATTAAGGCATATTCCTTATTATGGGTCATGCAGGATTTATATCATCAACCGTATGAATCCGAAGCTCCCGGCCTGAATACCTTTTTTAATATGCCCGTCAGAATCTCTAGAAGTGAGCCTTAAAGAACACATCGCTCCAGCCCCCACGTCCCTATGCTCTAAGCGCCGAAAATGGGCCTAAATCCTATATAAACCCCAAACAACCCAAATGCAACATGTCGAGCGCATCCACAAGCCCAATTCACATACTGGGAGCGATAGGCGCCGACGGCATGGGCGCCGCAGTGACCAAGACATCGATGGAGGCCCGCGGCATGAGCGCCGCAGTGGCCAGGACGGCGATGGCAATTGAACGTTGGTGGTCGTCGGCAGGGCAACGAGCGAGGCCAGTGGAACAATGCTGCTCGTCAGCAGGGCGGCGATAGAGGCCTGTGGAACAATGCTGGTCGTCAGCGCCAGGATGAGCGAGGCCAGTGGAACCGTGGCGGTGGTCAGCAGGGCGGCGATGCAGGACAGTGGAACGATGGTGGTCGTCAGCGCCAGGGTGAGGGAGGCCAGTGGCACACAGACAAGAATAACCAGACAAACAAGAATCAGCAGAACGGCGAACGTCCTGAACCCTATCCTAAACCTGGAACCTGAGCCCCAAAAGAGGATACCCTGCTTGGAGGATCATGGAACTCAATGAATAAGGTTGTACGTACCCTAATTGGCCTATTAGTTGCAACTATAGTATCCTGGTTTATAGTCGCTATGTCCCACGATTCTCTCAGTATCCCAGTTTATTCCCAGCGCCACCCTGTGGAGGTCTACGACAACATCCCGGAGGGTGATGAGGCAAGGCGCCTGTCTGCGCGTGCGGAGCATTTTCTTGAGGGTTCTACATCTAGAGGACCATGGGACATAGTAACTAGGCTTAGGAATACGGAAAACTATGGTTGTATTATATATTTACTTGTGATTCCAGTGTCAAGGTACATACATCCATAGTTATTACAAGGGTTCTTACAAGGGTTCTTCCAAGGTTAGGGTTCTGGGTTCTTACAAGAATTCTGACAGCCTTCGATATGGGCTCTATGCCAGAAGCACCGGTTGGAAGAAAGCATGTCGCAGGGTTTGGGTGTCGGGTATGGGGTGTTCAAATTTCCGGAGAATCGAGGGAGTTCCTTTCGTGCACATTGGGCCGCCCTACTTAAAGGATCATGGGACTTAGTAGTTAGGGTTATAAATAAGGTAACTATACTTGTTGTAAGTACTTATAACCCCAATTAGGGTGCTTACAACCTTACTTACTAAGTCCCATGATCCTCTAAGTAGCCAACAAGGCTTGTAAGCTTTAGAGGCTTTCAGAGCTTTGGCTTTAAAGCAAAGAAGCCCCAAAGTCCTAAACCCCCAAACCCTAAACCCTAAACCCCGAAATCCTAACCCCCAAAACCCCCCTAGCGTCTTAACCCCAAAGCCTAGACCTTAGATTCTCAAACCGATCACCGAAAGCTTTTCTTACCTTTGGTTAGTAGGGAATGGAGGAATGGGGTACAATTATAACTACTATTACTACTATTCTTCTATTCCCTACGAACCAAAGGTAAGTTTTGAGTCCGCCGGAAGGAGAGCCCGACCCCAAGAACCCTAAACCCTAAACCCTAAACCACCAGTCCGCCGGAAGGAGAGCCCGACCCCAATGAAGGGACGCAGGCCCTCCTTGGCCTCGGAGGCCCTGCCGAGAGTTCCTTTGAAGGTTTCTGATTGGGTGGTTGTCTAAGTTAGGGTCCCTATTTTTGGGCACTCTATGTATTAGGTGCCGTATTGAAATAAGGACACAAAAAAGGGGACCATAATTTTGACAACTGTTCTGAAGTTCGAGGGTTTCCTGCCTTGGGTTTCGGGCTTGACGACTTTGGGAGTTCTGTGCTCGGGGTTGATGGTTTGTGTCTAAGGCCGGGTGTTCTTTGTTCGGGTTGGCCGTCCCTAAACCCAGAACCCAACACCCTAAACACTAAAAAAAAACACACTGGTGGGGGTTACGTGCGGAGAGATTTACGGGGTTCAGTTTGGGGTTAGCGTTTGTCGGGCTTGGGTGGAGCGGTGGGCCTTCTGATTCTGTAACCGGAAGATTAGAGCCTGCTCTGTTGCTCTTCCCGAAACCCTGAATTCCCATGATTCATACTGTTTCTAAAACCATGATAGTTTCTTATCCTAAACCTTAAACCCCAAAACCCCTATACCTCTAAACCCCAAACCCCAACACCCTAGACCCTATACCCCTAAACCTATACCCCCAAGCCCCAAACTCCCAAACCCAAAAGCCGTCGTTTGCGTGGGTCCTGCGGTTGACGATATAAATCCTGCATTACCTTAAGGACCCGAAACTATGGGACTTATCGTATATTCCTCATTAATGGGTAATGCCGGACTTATATCATCAACCTAAACCCTAAACCCTGAACCTGAAAACCCTTTATTAGATCCCTTAAAGAGCCCTTGAAAGGTAGCCTTATAAATCCCTTTAAAGGTACCCCTAGGATTTATATCATCAAGCGTATGAATCCGAAGCCCCCCCCGCTGCTTCGCGAGGTCTCCGAGTCCACGGCCGCAGTCTCCACCGTCGACTCTGACATGGTAGAGGACGCTTATGGGCTTAGGGATTGGGGTTCAGGGTTTAGGTTTTGGGGTTTTAGGTTTGGGGTTTAGGGTGTGGGGTTTAGGGGTTTAGGGATTGGGTGTTTAGGGGTCTGTAGGGGTTTAGGGTTCAGGACCTGGCGATCCCAAGAACTACAGTTTCAATGGTTCTACCCTAGAGGAAAACGGACATCACCTACCATTTTGTAGGGTTTGGGGTCACAGGTAGAGAGGCTCCTAAGCCCCTAAACCGGAAAGGTGGTCCCTGTCAGGGATCCATACGGGTACCATAAGTGTCATAGGTCTAAGGGTATAAGCACTTGAACTGGAGCATAAGCCCTAAACATTATAGGTAGTCCTTCTAGAGGGTACCAGGGTTCTATAGCCCCAAACCACTAAACCCTAGTCGTAGAGTAGGTAACCTTTAACCTTTTTTGGGTAGTGTAGTCCCGAAATAATCCCTGGCCCTAAATATCGAAACAAGGTTAACCTTCAGATCTCCATGATACCCGACAAGTAGGAAACCCTAAACCCCTATGCCCTATGCCGCTATACCGCCAAACCCGTTCAGGGCTCCTTGGGCTTCTGACGGCTTTTTTCTCATAGGAGGAAGTCTCGAAGCTAGGCTTTCAGTGTCCCAGAAGCAGGGCGAAGGAGGGGTTTATGGCGTCCAGGGTTCGGCCTTCGGGGCCCCGAGTAGAGGCTTGCGGCGTTTAGAGCGTCTTTGTCCAGGATACGCGTTTTGGGTTGGGTACGGGCCCCACTCAGTAATAGTTGAATAATATCTATATCATAGATATATTAGGACCTCAGTAGTAGCCCTATTATAGACTTACTGTATGGGGGCAGTACCTAAGTTTTAGGGTTTGTCAAGCTGGGTTGCACTGATTTCAGTTCGGGGCTCCAGTTGTTTTCAAGGACGGGAGTTGTAAGCATACATAGCAGGCTACGCGAGGGGCTTCAAAAATTTGCCTATAGTATTTTGGGGTACCTTATTATAAGTAGAGTATAATATACCCCCAAACCCTATTCTAATCAAGGCCCCGGTATTCTGTTGGCCAAGCGGCTTGAGTCTTTCGTGGGAGGAGCACCCGAAACCCCAAGTCACGCTACTGCCCGAAGACTTCAAGGTTTAGGGTTTAGGGTTTAGGGTTTAGGGTTTAGGGTTTAGGGTTTAGGGTTTAGGGTTTAGGGGCTCTTTCCAACATCAAGGAACTCGAAACCCTAAGCTTTCGGCTCTAAACCCTAAGCCCGAAACCCTAACCGGAGCTTGAGCAGCTGGAAAGAGTGAAGGTCAGGGGCAAGGGGCGGGATCTCTTCAGAAGAGCTTTTTTTCAGGTAATGGTTCAGGGTTTGGGGTGCTAGGGTTGTGGGGGGGTTTAGGGTTTAGGATTTAAGTTTTGGGGTTTAGGGTTTGCAGTTTTTTTTTTTTTGGTTTGGGGTGTAGGGTTTACAGGGGATATACCCCAACTAAGAATTGCTTCGGTATTCTAGTCGAAGCAGCAGGATGCGTCCTTGTCCGGGTTTCCTGGACGCCTGAGACGCCAAAGCAGAAAATGGTCCATTCAAAACCCACCTGCAATCCAACATTTTCATGACGCCCCTATATAATCCAATCAAGCGTGGTCTTTTGGCTTACAGCTAACGGCTAAACATAGTTGAACCTGCATCCCTCGCCCCATCCCAGCGGCCCCAAATCAGGAGCCTGTGGCGTTTCTGGAAACAGCGTGTCTTGGAGCTTGAACTGAAACGGTTCAGGGTCTAGGGTTGAGGGTTTAGGCTTTAGGCTTTATTTCCTCGACACCAAAACTAGACGCCCAACAATGCTAGATTCCCGAGTAGTACCTTGTTCTGTAGGGTTCCCTTCTTAAAGCTGAATACCAGGGACAGGGGTAACTTAATTAATAATTAGGGGGACACTGGGGAACCGAGACTTTCGGGTGTTATTGGAATTCTGGGTTTGGGATCGAAAGTCAGTCTGCACCCCAGCAGCCACTTTCGGGTCTGATTATGTGGCCGTGAACTAGGATGCCCAGTAGTACCCTTATTCCCTTTTTGCAGTCTTAGGTTCCGTATAAAGTTGCCCAGTACCAAAAGCTTAGTAGTTGAGTGGATACACTTTACACTTTTGGGGATAATATTACCCACTATAAACCTGAAAGTGTACACTTTTTTGGGCTTATGAACTCAGCAACTAAGAAAAGGGAGCCCTGTTTATTCCTAGGCTACTGGGCATCCCAGTAAAGGTTGACCTCAAAAGTGCTGAAGTGGAGGTTCCTGAAGTTAGGGACCCAAAAGGCACATAAGCAGAAGCATTTTATAGGGGATGTCCCTACCTTATTGGGCTTCATTATTACGGGGTTTATATTGGATATCCCTATCCTAAATCTTGCTTATGTGCTTTTCGGGGGGTACTATGAAGGGCGCCTGCTGTCGACAAAAATCTGCTTCGAGAGCATCTTCGGAAGGGTATGAACGGAGAAAAGGCTCAGGACCTAGAGTAGGCCCTTATTCCCTATTTTTGGGGGTTCAGGTTACCTTACAACCCCCTTTAAACCAGAAAGGGCACCCTTTTTACTCCTAGGTTACTCTTGGTTCATAGTAGAGCTGTTAGCATCGCAGAGCTCTAGACCCTCAACCCTGAACCACCAATTCCGACGCCCTAATCCCTAGACTAGACCCGAAGCCATGAAGCCCTATAGCGCTGGCCATAATAAGTCCCTACTTAGAGGGCCATGAGACTTACTAACTAGCTAGAGTGATAAACAAGGTAGCTGTAGTACTATTACTTATAACTCCCATTCAGGTACTTGTAACTTTACTTACCAAGTCCGATGGTCCTCCAAGTATACAGCCCTGGACACCTGCACTCTCAGGTGGAATCTCGTTCTTGTCCTCGGCATCCTGGCTTTTTCTTGGGCCGATGCGGCAGATCTGTGTAGATCAAGAAGTTCCTGAAACCGACCTCTGCGTTTTACATCGTACACTTAAAGGATCATGGGACTTAGTAACTACGGGTTATAAATAAGGTAACTATACTTATAAGTGCTTATAACCCCAATTAGGGTACTTATAACCTTTCTTACTAAGTCCCATGATCCTCTAAGCATCATTGGAGAAGTTTGTTTAGAGTTTAGAGGTCGGGTTCTCAACTCAAAGGGGAAAAGGAGGGACCCTTAATGGGGACCCCTACCCTATAATGGGCTATAGAATGGGTATATAATAGCTATATGAAGGGTATATACCGAGGGGTCCTTATTATGGGTCCCTCCTTTTCCCCTTTGATCAACAGCAAGAGTGTTTAGATGGCTTGTACAAGCGGTTTGTACAGGTGTCAATAGGGCTGTGACAGTTTTTTGACAGGGGCTTCTATGCGGTTGCAGTGGAGTGGGAGTCCCGTGAACAAGGACCTAAGGAAGGACCTAAGGAGCTTATGGTTTACTGGGTTTAGATCTTGGCCTTGGTCCACTGGCGGTTTGGTAAGTCGTTTGGTTGTGACGGGTGCATCCTACCTCAACCTACCCAAACCTACTTTTTGTAGGGTCCCTATAAAATCCGTATTCGGATTTATACCTACCAAAAAGGTAGGTTATGGTAGTTTAAGGTATGCTTTGCCGGGTCTTTGCATCGTGGGCTGTTGATCGATCCCGCTCGGGTGCGGGGTGTTGCGACATTCGGCGTCCCACGGTCGCGGGGGGGTGGGGGGCGACGGTTGGGGTGTTGTGTCGTGGGATAGCCGGAAGGATCAGGGGGCGCAAAATCTTTCTCTTGAGCCCTAGCAAAAGCCTACTTGGAGGGACGGGGGACTTAGTAACTGGTTATTTTAGGGACTTATCAGTACCATAACCCCAATTCAGCTCCCTTTTGGGGTACTTAGAAGTCTACTTACTACCTACTTACTAAGTCCCCCGACCCTCCAAGTAACGTAACCCTGCAACCTGAAACTCTGAACCGGAACAGAACCCGCAACCTTCAATCCTGAGCCATGACAGAACCCCTGTCCCGCCAGCCCTAGCTAGTGTATGTACCCTTTAACGGTTTTGGTACTCTTATCCCTACCTTAACACCGAATAACCTACCTTTTTATGGACTCATATAAAGAAATCATATTAGGGAACCCTAAAAAGGCAGGTTCCTTAGGGTCCAGGTAAACAATCCCAACAATCTCCCCAGAGGTTGACCTGTAGTAAGTTACCCAAAACAAAATACCAAGCAAACGTGAACCCGAGATCAAGCAACCATCAGGTTATCCGAGATCAAGCAACAAAACCTGATGGTTGCTTGATCTCGGATTCACGTTTGTTTGACAAGTGGACCTTGACCCCTTAACAGAACCCCAAGCCCTTACCCCAACCAGGCCTTCACGCCTGAACCTTAGCAAAACCCTCATGCAGGGTGAACCCCGTGTATACACCTGAAACTCACCTAAACCCTAAGTCTTTGACACAAACAAGGGTCCCCAGGATTTTTTGAAGGATCCGAGGGCGCTAAAGCGGTTTAGGGTTCGGTTTGGGTTTAGGGTCGACGGAAGTATTTAGAGTCATGGATGCCTCAAATAGAGTACACACTCAGTCCCATGATCCTGCAAGTATTGTAGAAGCCTGAATGATTTGTAGCAGTGGTCCCTTTTGTCCTGATATTTCAACACAAGAAAACCAAACAAGACATACAGCGTAATCTCATGCTAAATATCACAACCCCAGAATGCCTTACCACACCTGACAGGGACTCGCAAAACCAATCGAAAACACAAAAGCCTACCAAAGACATCAAAGCCTTTCAATGTTTTGAACCCCTTTGGAAAAAGTATATAAACGCTAAACCTTAGAGAAACCCTATTCCCTACAGAAATCCTGAAATAATTGCTCCCGGGACGACCAGGTCACACGAACAGCGGGCCTGTCGATATCCTCATCGCCGTTGTCTTGCCACTGTGAAGCCCTAAACCAGAAAAGGCGGTCCCTTTAAGGGATGTAAAGGGGTACTAGAAGGGCTTCGGGTTGATGGCACTTAGAAGATCAAGGGACTTAGTAAGTAACGTTATAAGTACCCGAATCGGGGTGATAAGTAATTATGTATAACTATATTTACCTTATTGATAACCCGGGGTTGCTTCCACGTTCCTTGAATTTACGGGAACTATATCGGTTCTAATGCACTATAATAGAGGTTTGCTGTTGCTTCAAGATCATGGGACTTGGTAAGTAATGTCAAAAGTAGGGAAATGACAGTTATGACTACTTGGAACCCCAACTAGGGTACTTGTAACCTTACCTGCCAGGTCCCATGATTCCCCAAGTAGAGCTTCAGAGAAATCGGAAGGTAGGGGTGTAGATTTAGGGTTGAGGTTGTTCAGGGGTTCAGGTTTTAGAGGCTCCGTCCCAAGAACGCTCGTTGGAAATTCAAAAGTTACCTGCATCCCACCTAAAGAGCTTGTTGATTGCTTACGGTTCGTAGGGTTCTTCGGTTTCTCAGTTCAAAGGGGAAAAGGAAGGACCCTTAATGGGGACCCCTACCCTATAATGGGCTATATAATGGGTATACAATAGCTATGTTAAGGGTATATTACCTAGGGGTCCTTATTAAGGGTCCCTCCTTTTACCCTTGGATCAGAGTTCTCAGGCTTCTTGGGGTGTTTGTGATGCCTAGCTTTTCTCGAAGCAATGCGGTTCTAGGGCCCGTTTCGATCCTAGGTTCCTTATACGGCTACCCAATGCCTTATGAGGGTCGTGGACTTAGTAAGAAAGGTGATAAGTACCTTACCTGGAGATATAGGTAAGAATAGCTATAGTTACCTTGCTGATAACCCTAGTTACTAAGCCCCATGATCCTGTAAGTAGACCCTAGGCCCTAAAGCCCATAGATACCTTTAAGGAACCCTTAAGGAACCCCTATACATCCCTTTAAGGAGCCCTTAAAAAGGAGCCCAAAAAGTTACTAAGTAGTAGAAGATACCTCTCGGATTCAAAGCTGTGCTCTCAGTTTAGGGCTTAGAACCCGACACCTTAAACCCCCTAAACTGTAGCAGGGCTAACTACCAGAGGTTCCACAACCCTTTAAGTAAGAGCTCTACCTTACATCATCGTGAAGGATCCACTATGATTTCAGGCATCTTCCTCGCTTCAGAGCTTTCAAGTCTCTGGGCAACCATCCTAAGCCTCAAACCCTAGACCCCTAAACCCCTAACTAAACCCTAAACCCAATGCCCATGAACCCCTAAACCCCTAAACCCTTCAACCCCTAAGCCCATGAGCCCCAAGCGAAAATCGCCCGCACGCGTGGAAAATTTAAGGTTGGTTGGCAGCTTTACAGTGCAGTGCCTCTTCTTCGCCGGGGTCCTCGTCGAGGATTTCAGGAGTCTTAGGCCGTAAAGTATAGGGTTTAAGGAATAGGGTTTTGGGTTTACGGTAGAGGTTAAGGAATAGGGTTTAGGGTTTAAGGAGTAGGCTTTGGGGTTGAATGTAATGTTTAGGGTTCAGGGTAGAGTTTAAGGAATAGGGTTTAGGGTTTAAGGAATAGGTTTTAGGGCTGAATGTAGGGTTTAAGGAATACTAGGTTGGATTTTGGGACATTTTCTATTTTCCCTATTTGGGTTTATAGGGGGCCCTACATATAAATATTTTTCAGGGTGTTCAAAGGCCAACCCAGAATAGGGTTTGGGGTTTACGGTTTAGGGCTCCGATGGATCTCAGTGTGGAAGTTTCGGGGTCTAGGCTTGGCTCTCTGAACCCGGAGCATACTTGGAGGGTCGGGGGACTTAGTAACTGGTTATTTTAAGGACTTATAAGTACCATAACCCCAATTAGGGTCCCTTTTAGGGTACTTATAAGTCCAGAAAGTTGGAATATGGTTTCATGGTAGGATAGACTATAATTTACCATAGAAGGGTTAGGATAATCATATTCCAACTTTCTGGCTTTTACCTTAGGGGTTTAGGGTTTAGGTAGGAGGTTGCAGAAGGGGTTCAGAATTTCCTTCAAATTCTGAACCTCAAACCTAAATCTGAAAACCCAACCAAACTCAAACTCTGAAATCCTATAGCCTACTCGGAGGATCGTGGGACTGAGTATCTGGTTTTGTTTAATACTTAATGGCTGAGTAGGTAACCTGTAGCCTTTTTGGGGTTTTATACAATCCTACCATAATTTAAAAGGTCAGCCTTTTGTGGGCTAGGGTACTCAGCCTCTAAAATGATGGTTCATGGTTTTCAGGGTGTAAGGCTTAGAGGCCAGAGGTTTAAGGAAGGCAGTTCTACCTATAAATATGCTCAGAACACCAACCGAGGCTCTGAGAGCCGTGTCTAGTGCGGTTGATGATATATATCCTGCACTACCCAAACAAGGATTATACCATAACTCCCGTAGTCTAGTGCCCTAAAGGTAATGCAGATCTATATCATGAACAGTATAGTGTCATTAAAGGTAATGCAGATTTATATCATCAACAGTAAGTCGCATGATCTTCCAAGCCTGCGCGGCTCAGGTGATCTTGCTGTCTGAGGACTGACTCCGGGGGTTCAGAGCTTAGGAATTACCCAGAGAGCCCAATACCCCTTAATTAAGGAATATGGCTTAAATTATATAGGGCTTCATACTATGATTTAAGTTATATTCCCTATTAAGGGGTATTGGGCTCTTGGGGTAAGGCGCAAGCCTGGTTTTAGTTTCAGGGTTTAGGGCGTTCGGAATGGAGGATTGCGGGTTCGTAGGGTGTAGGGGTTTAGGGTTCAGGGTTTAGGGCTTAGGGTTTAGGGTTTGCGGTTTAGGGTTCGTAGGGTGTAGGGTTTAGGGCTTAGGACTTTTGGTTTTTGTTGTAGGGGTCTTGGATTGAGGGTCTAGGGTCCGGGGTATCCTTGAAAAAGGCCCCTCGGGTACCCTTTTGGAGCCTTCGTGGAGCCTTGATACAGCCATTGCAAAGCGCGCAGACTACAACAGCCGAAAAGCCCTAGATGAAACTAAACTCTACTTACATCCGAAAGCCCCACAACCCTAAACCCGAAAAGCCTAAACCCCAAAGAACCCAGAGACATATGCAATTTTGTAAAGCAACTACTTCCAAGAGAGCTTTCTGGCAGACCCCAAAGCCCTAAAAGGGGTTCAAAGGTAAACGACCCTGCAAACAGAACACCATTCAAACCTTAAATTAAGTCTTTGAACCAACCCCAAGCCCTAAACCCTGAAAGGAACCATAAACCCTACCCTAAACCCAACCCTAAATGCCTAAAGAAGTTCTGTAGGGATGCCTTCAAGGGAGCCATTGTATAGTCAACCGTAACCAAAGGGTCCAAGTAATAGTACAATACATGCTTTCGAGGCCCGAATATGTACTAAGTAGCTACAATATTGGAACTTGGACCCTCTGGGTAAATGTAATCCTTACAGAACCCGCTAATGGAATCCTGTTCCAAACGCTGAGGCACGTGTATACAGCGCAAACCCAAAACCCTTGGGCAACTGGCCGTGCAACTGGCCCTGTTGCCTGAACCGGCCCCGGTCGAGCTGCCTAGCGGCAGCGGGGACGTTCCGGTAATGGTCGGCAGCGGGGAGTCCGACCTGGACGCCATTGAGGCCCTTTTTCGGGATTACGATGGCGAGGAGGAGGAAGAGGAGGAAGAGGAGGTACAGGAGGATGAGGAGAACGATGAGGAGCAGGGCGCTGATTTCAAGGAGAACAACGCCACGCGGCATGACGGCGAGCTTGCTGTCCAGTTGGATCCATTCTCTCTCGAGTTGCCTGTGCCTTTTGAGCTGGCCAGCAGCAGCCACCAAGCTCCGGTTATCGTGGACACTGGCGTCGGGGACGAAAGTCCCACCAAGCGGGTGAGGAGGGCCTACAACACTCGCTGGCTCCCGTGCGGGCTTTGCCCGCGATGCCTCTGCCACATCGCTCGAGGTTGCCCGATTCGCAGCGATCGCTGCGATGGGCCGGTGCCTCGCAACCGCATTTTTAGTCAAATTCGTCGTGCACGCAGGGCTGCGCCCAAAGCGCAGCCCGCCGGCCTAGCGGCGGCAAAAGCCAAAGCCGCCGCTAAGGCAAAGGCGAAGTTCTATATGGGGCTTCCGCGCCGCTATTAGTTTATTTGTTTTATTCTTCCTTATCACATTTTACATCTCATCTTTTACCAACTTTACAAACTCTATGTACAAATAACTATCAAATACAACTTCATACCAACAACATTTCCAACTTCCCTTTGCCATTGCATGTGCATGCCTTTTTTTATTTTCTTTTACCTGGGGTCCGCGATTCGGGTTTGGTGTGTGGTCGTTTGTGGGGACGAATTTGGCGTCGATGATGGAAGGATGGGGATCGGCTCCTTCTCACATCCCTCAGTCGCCTTTGCGCATACCCCCAGTGCCAGGACCCCTATACGGCCTCAACACGCCATTTGACGATCGAGGAATGCCACGTACACCCATCATTCCGGTTGTGCCCCAATACTATCCTCCTACGCCACTGGACCAGTATGCTTCGGTGGACCATGCGATATCTGACATACAACAAATTACGTGACGAGTACGACCCATGTCACCTCGGCGGGTATTGCGACCTCGCGCCAGCGACCTCTTCGGCATCCTCCACACTCCACACCCTCGACATCCCTGACGACTTTGACTTCCTCGTCCCCGAGCTCGAACTCCACCTCTGCTCCTATGACCTCTACGGCATTGGTGCACCCATGCCCGGATGGGTAACAACGACATCGTCCACTGTTGCGACACTCTGGCCATGGATGACTCTGTGGACTTGGACGTCATCGACTACCTCTACCTCACAGCTCACAACGGAGGATGATCTCTCTTGGGTGGAACCTGGAGACGCTGCTGAGGCTTCCCACAGTGATGGTGCTGCCCATGATGACTGGGAAGAGCTGGAGGCTGAGGTGCAAGGAGAAGCATGGGACGACGACGAAGTTAACCCGGATGCTGGAGTCCTGCTGGAGGAGTGGGAATGGAAGACCTTTGGCCGGAAGATGAGGATGGGGACGATCCTGCAGCAGAGGAGCCGGGTATTGTCCTTGGGGATGAGCTAGGTGACCTTACACAGGCTGAACAAGTTTTCGCACAAAGGGTGGCGGGCCTGGTTGTGGCGCAAATGTACAAGAAGGGGAACGTCCGGCCCCTCATTGTGAGAAGGGCACCTCCCGGCACAATCTTCATCACACTTCAGGCCCGGCTGAAGCACGGGTACGTGTGGTTGCAAGGATCCATGTTGTCCGGGAGAGTTGTGTGGAGGGGCAAGCATGGGTGCACCACAGACGTGAAGATGGCTTCGATCGCCACGAGGGTTCGTACTCACCTCCTGCAGCACAACCTCATGAACAGCACGTGCACGGTTTGCTTCCTGGGGCATTCCGGCAGGCTTCGCTCCACGGTTAAACTGTGGAATGCGAATACCAGCAAGGCGAGTTTCGAGCGGCGGCTGCCGAAGAAAAGGATCATCGGCAAAACCGACCCGAGGTTCGTGGCGTTGCACAAGCATCTGGCACAGTTTTGATGCCTGCAGAAGCATGGCGAAGCTTCATGGTATACATGTTGAAAGAAGAAAGCCTGCATGCAGTCGCTTCCATGCTGTCCTGCATGCTCATGCATGCATTCACAAGATGGACATTCACACAACACCTTTGCACACATGATGCATGTACTCATGTTGTGGTTCTGAAGACATATCACGGAGTGTAGCACGATAGCCCAGTGAAGATCCCGTGGCGCCAGCAAGCATGATGCAACAGTTTGCTGCCGTGAAAGCGATCAGCGGGACACTCCAGGACGAAACCGCTCGGCAGCATGTGTTGACTGCCCAGCTGCATTCCCTGGAGCAACAGCTGAGAGCAATGGACCTCAGCCATGAAGACATGGAACCCCTCATGAAGACCATCGCGGAATCCCCCTTCTCTCCTGGGCAGAAGGACCAATTGATCACCGTCGTATCGGAGAAGATGGCACGTGCAGCTGCTAACAGTTAACAAGAAGACCAAGAAATGCACACAAGAGCTGCCAGACGTGGGGCCATTCCTGTCGGAGGCCGATGTGGCTTGCCTTAGCAATCCAGATCTCAACACCCTCGCAAAGGTCACCCACCTAAGCTTGGTCTTTTCGCGGGTGGGGTGTACCAACCCCACGGAGCAATCATGCGGAAGGGCCATAAGCTCCTTGAAGCAGCACATGGGTGTGGCCGAGTTGGGCGAGCCGAGTGAGTTCTTGAAGTCTGTTCAGACTTTAAGGCGGCATTGAAAGGACATGTGAAGAAGATGCCGCCTGCTTCAGTGCATGTCCAGACATTCAGCACTCCCGACCAGTTGCCAAAGGACCTGGCCGAACGTTGCTTCAAAGACAGCCCTCAGGCTTCGGTGCGAAGTGGCCCAGTGGGCATCACTGGACCCGTGAGGAAGTCGCACAAGAGTGTTTCGCCTTCCGCTTCCGCCAGCTCGTGGCAGCATCAGCCGGGCATGTTCCCGAGTCATGGGCAGCTGTTGCCGAGTCATGGGCCGCTGTTGCCGAGTCATGGGCAGCAGTTTATGACGATGCAGCAGATAATGCAGGCATACCATCAGGTACAGCAGTGGATGGCACCACCAACCCCCAAATCCCATGGCTTGCCGAACCTCGTTCTCTTCAATCAACCGGGGCAGCCAGGACATCAGAGTCAGGGAAAGCCGACCGATGCACAGATCGTTCCTTCCAACCAGGCGGGGCAAGGACATCAGTCGGAGCCGCAAGGACATCAATCAGATCTGCATGGGCAACAGCAGCACATGCAGAACTGGGGGCTGCAGTCCGAGACCAACACCAACGACCAGAATAAGCCGCCCCTGCAACCAGCCGAGCAAGCTGATGCAATGCTGGCGGCATGGGAGAGTCGCAAGCTGGAATCGGACAAGGGCCCGGCCATGAGGAAGCCGTCTGCTGCTGATGCCGCAGAGGGGCACGGGAATCCGAAGGCCAAGGCCAAATCAAAGATAAAGGCCAAGGCCAAATCGCAGCCGAAAACCAAAGCCAAGTCGCATGCGAAGGCCAAGGCCAAAGTGCATGCGAAGGCCAAGGCCATGCCCTCGAAGGAGGTGATGCGAACGATGAGCAAAGAAGCCCGAAAGCCCTACCGGCCTCTTGGTTGCCCCAAATGCCGACAAAGCCCTGGCTGCACTCCGTCGTGCTTTCGCTAAATGCACTCCATCGCACTCCATCGCGACAGGATTTTGGGGAAACTCGGCAAAAGCTGGTCGCGAGCTTTCCATGCATCATGCATGAATGCCATACAACCATGTCTGAAGCCCGTGCTTTCGCTAAATGCACTCCGTCGCGACAGGATTTTGAGGAAACTCAGCAAAAGCTGCTCGCGAGCTTGGACGCTTCACACAGCTGATGTGGTACCTGGGGCGACTGCGAGACGATTTACAAGGTCAGTGCCACCCTGGAGGGAAGGAGGCGGGCCTTATGCCAGACCGTCGAGGGCTCCGGCGTCTGAACCTACCTGGACGGTGAATGACTCATGGAGAGCGATCGCAGCTACATCGGGGCGATAGCTGAACCCACATCCAATCCGCGTGAACGAACTCCTCACTGGCAATCTAGGCAACGGCAGACGTTCGCTAGGGTTAACACATACTCCGACTGAGGGCATGTCGAATGGGGCAGCTGAAGTGGACAGGGACGTGAAGACCATGCCTGCTGAGGATGCGAGGACAAACGAGGATACGAAGACCCAGGAGGACGTCGCTGAAGTTCCGCGTGATCCGGATGATGCCTCTCCTACGGATGACGGCCGTACCAATACTGGTCACGACTTGGAGGCTACGGTTGCAGGTTCTCAGACGGAAGCTTGGGGGCACCTGATGGGGAGTTCGGAATCTGGCGCAGCAGAGACAGCGGTGCATCCAACAGAAAGTAGGGCAGACTACAGTCGCCTCTCTTCGTCACGCCGGTACAGCTGTGTGACAGGCAAGTACTGGCCCCCAGTCCTAGTTGAGTCTTGACCTCAATGCCCGTAAGTGGTTGCGAGGCTGTTTCACTGCTATGGGCCCGAACAGGGCTGGCGCGTTCAGGAGGAAGGGCCGTCAACATAGTTTCAAAAAAAAAAAACCTAAACCCCTAAACTTTAAACCCTAAGCCCTAAACCTTAAACCCTAAACCCTAAACCTCAAACCGGAACCCTAAACCATAGATCCTTCAACCCAAAACCCAACGCCTTAAACCTAAGCCTTAAACCCTAAACCCTACACCTGACACCCAAAGCCCTACAAACCGTACACCTACACCCTCAATCGACCCCCAGAGGGGACCCCAGTGTGTCCAACAGAACTACCCCTAATAGTAATCCTTATAGACCCCTTCAACTTTAAAGGAACCCTTAAAGGAACCTTCTTCTCTTAACCCCAAACCCTGAACCCATTAAGGCCCCGAAGAAACCCTTAAAGGAACCTTATTCTCTTAATCCGAAACCCTAAACCCTAAACCCTAAACTCACCTTAAACCCTAAACCCTTAACCCTAAACCCTAAACTCACCTTAAACCCTAAACCCATTAAGGCCCCTCCCCAGTGTGTCCAACAGAACTTCCTCGGTGAGCCTTTCGAAGAGCAACTCCAGAATGCCGTCCTCTGGAGACAGCGACTCGGGGGATGTGATGTTTCTTTTTTTTAAAAACAGTAGGTCTTTTTTTAACGGTTTTTCCACAAGGTTTTATAGGTTTTTGATTTCAATGTTTCTTATAAGATTTAGAAGGTGTTTTTATGCGATTTCAGAGGCTTTGAAAGGGTCTTACAAGGTTTTTAATACGCTGGAAAGGTTCCTATTGTGTTGTATATGGTTCTGAAACGGTTGAGAGCTCAGGTTTTCAAGGCTATTTAGGGGTTTCGGTTGAAGGTTTAGGTTTAGGCTCAGGTCTAGCCATTAATTATGCTCTAAACCCTAAACCCCTAAACGCTTAAACCCAAAACCCCAAACCCTACACCCTAACATCCCAAATTCGTGGTGCTCGGCTTTTCAAGGGCCCTTAGGGCTCTGCACGATGCACGGAATCGGAGTTTCAGCCTCGCGAGGGTTCAAGGTTCAGGGTTTAGGGTTTAGGGTTTGGGTTCAGGGTTCAGGGCTAAAGGTGATGACTGTATTTGGATCACCTCTTCAAAAGAGCCGAACATTAGAACTTCCAAGAAGGTGTCCTAATATGTCCTGCGAAGAATTGGCGGATTGGCGTACGATGAGGCATCTTTCATGGTCTTTCGTTGGAACTTTAAAAAAGACATCCGTAAAAGGGTTTCTGAATCTCCAACTTGAGGACAGTCGCGCATGATTACAAGTACATGGATCCGGCGCAGACAAGCCTCATCGCTCGTGCCTTTGGCTAAACCCTCGCCCTAGACCTTAAAACCCTAAACCCTAAAACCCTTAACCCTGAACCCGTGGAGAAACCTGCTTCAGAAATTGGAGGTTGTGTCGGGATCCCCCTAATCTGAGGGAAGTTGGAATGCAGCCCTGAGAGTACTAGGAATGTCAAGCTACAGGAAGGTTAGGGCGCGTCTTCTGCCACTTCGTATTGCATGCAAGGGCTTGGCCGCAAGCCTAAGCCCCAAACCCCAAACCCCAAACCCCAACCCCAAACCCCAAACCCTATGCCACGAAAGGGTTGCTGCACAGGACTGTTGTAACTGTTGTACTTTCAACGCGAGCACGCGCTCTAGGGCAGAGTAGCTCTGAACCCTGCATCCTTGGCCTCTCTTCTCCCAATTACTTAGGGTTTAGGGTTTAGGGTTTAGGATTTAGGGTTTAGGGCTTACGGTTCAGGGTTAGGGTTTAGGGTTTAGGATTTAGGGTTTAGGGTTTCGGGTTTAGGGTTTAGGATTAGGATTTAGGGTTTAGGGTTTCAAAGCCTAAGCCCCAAATGCCAAGCCTCAGCCCACTCTGCATTTCCCTTGCCTGCCTGACCGTATTGGCATGGCTTCATTGAAGGTAGACTTGAAGCCCTTCAAAACCTTAAGCCTTAAACTTGAGAAACCTACACAAAAAGTCAGAAAGTGAGACATCATCAAGAATCCCAGCACTGAGCGTACTCACAATCCATGGAGTTTTACTATTGACCAACTTGGAGGGTCAGGGGACTTAGAACATGGAGTTTATTCCCAATTCGCATAAAATCCTGAGTCAGACCTCATGTAGCTCCTATATGAATCTGACAAAACCCTAAGGCCTAAGCCCGCGCATGCCTGCGTAAAGTGCTTCTTTCTTTCTCAAAGAGACCTTGTGTCCGTCCAAGGAGGTGCAGGCTGCCAGGGGTTCTAGTGTGCTCAAGGTGTGCCGTGTTGAAGTTGAGAATCTTAGCCTCAACCCCTAAAGCCCTAAACCCCTAAACCCTAAACCCTAAATTTTAAACCCTACACCCTAAACCCCTAAAGCCCTAAACCCCTAAACCCTAAACCCTAAATTTTAAACCCTACACCCTAAACCCCGAAAGCCCTAAACCCCTAAACCCTAAACCCCGAATCTGCATCTACCCGAACGCCGAGGTGTTTGTTCGGGCGACGGAAAGCTGATCTTGTCGACGCAGCAAGCGCAGCTTCTGGAGTAGTGCCTTGGTAAAGGGTTTAGGATTTAGGGGTTTAGGGTTTAGTTCAGGGTACCCAGAGACTCCAATATCCCTTAATTAAGGAATATACCTTAAATTATAGTTGGATCCCTAATATGATTTAAGGAAAATTCCTTAATTAAGGGGTATTGGAGTCTCTGGGTTTAGGGCCTACTTAAAGGATCATGGGACTTAGTAACTAGGGTTATAAATAAGGTAACTATACTTATAATTACTTATAACCCCAATTTTGGTACTAATAACCTTACTTACTAAGTCCCCTGATCCTCCAAGTAGGGTTTAGGGTTTAGTTCAGGGTATAGGTTTGCAGGGCTTTAGGGTTTCATGTTTGAGGGTGTAGGGAGTTTAGGGCCTAGAGTGGGGGTTCTTTCAGTGCTACAGGATGTTTTGGGGTGGCATAAGGTGGCAAGGTTCGTTTTGGTTCCATACGGCCTCGTAAGGCTTACTTTGGCTGTCTATTGTTCTAAAAGGCTTAGGGTTTAGGTTGGGGTCAAGGGTTTATGGCATGGAGTGAGTACATAAAGGATCGGGGGGCCTAATCAACCGGTGATCGTGCCGAAGAACTCCAAGCCCAACACACCAAACCGTCAATCCTGAATCCTTATCCCACACCCTGATACAGGATGCATGCCCACACCCCCGGGAGGATCCAAAAAGTAGATCCTTTAATGTATAAAGTACCCTTACCCAAATTAGGGGATCTACTTTCCCGTATAGATCCCTAAACCCCAAACCCTGAAGGATCCCATAAAGGAGCCCTTTAAGGTACCCTACTAAGTCCTGAAGATTCTTTCGGGGGTCTGGGTGCATACCATCAGAGCAGAGGCAGCGTACTCGACCCACTGATTGCCGAAACCCTGAACCCTAAACCCTAAAACCCGGCCCTAAACCCATAAACCCTCCGAATCCGAGCCATGAGTCTCAAGCCCATGGCTCATAGCCTTAGTAATTAGAATAAGCTTCTGGGGTATGTTATACCTTAGTAATTAGAATAATAGGGTTTTGGGGACATGTTATATCTTAGTAATTAGAATAGGGTTTTGGAAGATGTTATAGTATATAAGTATATTATATAAGGAGCCCCGACGATAGTATAGATAGTTTTTTAGGCCCCTATATTAAACAGCACGTGACTGCACCTCACGACCCAAGAGCCCGACGTTGCCTGCGCCCAGTATCAACCAGTTCATGGGGCTGGGACCGAACGCACCTTGGCGGAAAGTTCTAGTCGCCGGTTGCTGGGGAGGCTTTCTGCAGGCTTCATATGCTTTGAAAGATAATTTATAGAGTGTTTATACGGTCCTGTTTCCGGCAGGTTCTGTTTTTGTGACACCTGGTCTTTTTCGAGCAGTAAGAAGGGGACTCCTGGCACGATCCTTACTGTTAACAACAGGTTTAGATTGTAAAATGAGGGTTGTGGTATTGGGCCACACCTGAAACCCGAAACTTGTTCTTTCCATCACGTTTGAGCTCGGTGGGCTTGACACTGAAAGGATCATGCGACCTCGTACACATAGCCTTACTTACTAATTCCGTTGATCCTGTAAATAGTTAATCTTGACCTGCCGACCGCGTAAAGCGTGCTCGGCTGCTTCGCGCCTCGCGCTGGACAGATAGTTGTGTAGATACGTAGACGAGCAGGTAGATCGATACATAGAGAAACCGTCAGGTAGATAGGTAGCATGATAGATAGGAAAGCACACAGTAATCAGTGAGTTGGACAGATACAGATAGGTGGATGGCTAGATGGACAGAGAGACATTGGTAATTGGTTGTTGAGCAGTTAGTTCTATAGTCTCCTCAGGAATTGGTTCTGTTCATATACAACCCAAGAGAATATTGAACATGCTGTTTTTGAATTATGGTTCTCAGAAAATGTAGAGTTGAGGATTTCGAGCCGCCCATGATGTCCGACGGCATCATGCTCTGCATGATGTGCATCCTGCTTTGGTGCCTGGGAAGCAACAGAGACAAGGACACTTAATCGGTTGGATGCAAGCAACGCTACAAGCAATGAGATAGCTTACTTGCTACTGTCCTCTTCGGCTATACAGACTTCTTGTCTGAAGACCGCTAACAAAAGCCTCCAGCAGAAGGCCTATCTGGAGCCATATGATATGAGGATACATCTTTAGGTGGCTCTATCAAAGGGGAAAGGAGGGACCCTTAATGGGGACCCCTACCCTATAATGGGCTACATAATGGGTCTATAATAGCTATATTAAGGGTATATACCTAGGGGTCCTTATTGAGGGTCCCTGCTTTTACCCTTGGACTCTATGTTCTTAAACCCTGAACCCTACTTTAAAGGGGCCTATACGGGGTTCCTTTAAAGGGATCTATAGGGGGGTTCCTTTAACGGAACTAAGGAACCTTTCGTTCTTGATCCTTTCGGGGTTCTAGGGGTCAGACTTTCAGTTGCAGGAGGGGTGCATAGTTCGAATCCTGGGTTTTCAGCAGGGTTTAGGGTTTAGGGTTCATGTATAGGGTTTGGGGTTTAGGGTTTAGGGTTTATGTATACGGTTTAGATTTTGGGGTTTAGGGTTCAGGGTTTATGTAGACGGTTTAGGTTTTGGGGTTTAGGGTTTAGGGTTTATGTAGAGGGTTTAGGGTTTGGATTTAGGGTTCAGGGTTTAGGGTTTTTGGAAGTTTCTGAAGGCAACCCACAAAGCCTGAAATCTGAGCCCTCTTCGCCGAGATGGACAGGAAACTGAAGTACTTGAAGGATCATGAGACTTAGTAACTGAGGTTATTACTATTGTAACCATACTTCTAACTGCTTATAATCCCAATTAAGGTACCTTTTACCATACTTAGTAAGTCCCATGATCCTGCAAGTAAGTCCCAAAATACCCTCAGGAACCCAAGCAGGTACCGTCTCGGGTTTCGGGCTTACGGCTCAAATCCCAAAGCCTTAAAGCCTTGATTCTTGCGCCCAGCACAGCAACGACGAGTGCTCCCGTTTTCCGCAAGCCCGGAAATATGGTTTTCGCTGGGTTTAGTATTCAGGGCAGCGGCATTACTTGGAGGATCATGGGACTTAGCTACTAGGCTTTAATTTAAGCATAGTAACTTTCGCCACAACTACTTATCACCCCAATCAAGAACTTTATACCCTTACTTGCTAAGTCTCTTGGATCCTCCAAGCAGGGTTCATGGTGCACCTCAATGAACATGTCAGAACATACGACTGACACATGGGTTCAGGGCTTAGGGTTGAGGTGCAGGGTTTAGGGTTTAGGGTGAAACAGAATACTTTCATTGGAGTTATACGTAGTTAGAAGTTGGTCCGCTTATTTAAAAGCCCTAGTTACTAAGTCCCATGCCTCCTAAGTACCAACAGTTCGTGCCAGCGTGCTGCTGTTCGGAAACGCTGATGAAACCGAGCTCTTGGTGGAAGGCTGGTAATGCAGAGACCTGAATAAGTATCAAAGCTTCCTTCCTTAGGGTTCCAGTGTAGGTATACATATATGTGCGTATGTATGTATGTATGTATGTATGGATGTATGTATGTATGTATGTATACAGGTAAGTGTGTATATATGAGATATATATATATATATACACACACATATTATGCACGCATACATACACAAGCACGTCATTAATCTCGAATATTCACCGAAACCCTGTTGACGATTGCTGGAGGTTCGGAGTTAGTTATAGGGTCTGTCCCTGAAGCTTTGCTGCATGTTTTGTTGTGGTCGTGCAGAGAATTAAGGTGCCTGTATCTGTGCCAAGAGATGAGAGCTGTCCTCTTTTCCTTGGAGGCAGCGTCTGGGGCAGGGCTTGCATGGCATATCGGGCCCAGGCTACTTGTATAGCAACCCATGTCGTCATAGTATTCTCGTTCCAGTAGCCCTTATGGCACCCCTTGTAACAACTCTGATAGTAGCCCTACAGTAGGGTCTTAGGGTTTGGGGCCGCTGGGCCCTAAACCCTAAGCCCTGAGTACTCCGGACCTCAGCATAGACCCCCAACGTTCAGGGTTCAGAGTTCGGGGATCAGGGTTTAGGGTTTAGGGATGAGGGTTTAGGGTTTAGGGCTTAGGTAAAGGCCTACATTCTACGGGATCCGGCATTTCAAGACGCCTTTCTTTGCCGAAACAGGGGCCCAAACCCTAAAGCCCAAACCGTAATTTCTGAAGCCTAAACCCTATAGCCCATGCATTCAGGATTCCTTGGCCTTTCGGGTGAATAGCTGCCCTAGCCTCCCAAACCCTCCTGTAGTTTTTCGCAATCGCTATAAGACTCCAAGTATACGAACATTACCTATTGTGGGCTTTATGGAGTCTTAGGGCCTCAGGGAATACCTGCCCCCAGAACCCTACACCGTAAACCCAAAATCGAATTCCGAAACCCTAAGTCAAAGATCACAAGGTCCTAAACCCTAGCGCCTGACAGATGCCTTGTGGAATGGATCCCTTATTGAACCTTTATAGAGGCTGAAACCCTGTGTAAGGCAGCTGCCCGTGTTGATTGGGAACTCCTTATCCGAAAGTGTGTTCCACCCTAAAGCTCCAAACCCCACACCCCAAAGCCGCAAAACGGTTTAGGGTTTTAGGGTTTTTTTTTTGGGTTTTAGGGTTTAGGGTTTAGGGTTTAGGCTAGAGTAAGGCTCAACTCCCTAGACATGTAAGGGCATGCTGAGCAAGCGCATTCTCAATCCGCCTCCAGAGTCGGTGGGCTGCGTGGCTGCTTGCTGATGGCATTCTGTCGCAACGTTGCCACTTCTACGTTTTATCCTGTTGTTATCTAGGTGGGGCTTTGGGACATTTTATATTTTCCCTTATTGGGCTTAAGAGGATCTTACCTACTAATATTTTTCAAAGGCTTTGATAGCACCTCCTAGTTATTGTTCCCAGTTCCAGAAGTACCAGTGTAGCAGGCTTGCAGTCTATGGCCTCAAGGGCTCCTTTAAGGGGCTGCTTTAGGGGCTACCGGTCACCTCCTAAGAAAGGGTGCCATCACCGGTGCTCCGGTTTGCGAGAATCTTGGTGCGAGATGGGGGGAGTCGCCTGGTATGCCACGCCCGGGTTAGCGTTTAGGGTTTAGGGTAACCCTAAAACCCTAAAGCCCTAACCCCTAAACCCTATACCCCTAAACCCCTAAACCCCTAAACCCTAAACCCCTAAAGCCCGAAACACCTAAACCCAAAGCCCTAGACCCTAATCCTTACGCCCTAAACCAAGCTGCTAGGCCGTGTCGCAGCTGCCGAAGGGCCCGACCACCATCTTCATCCGAGGAGGTTCCTCGACTTGGTAAGAAACACCGTTTAGAATAAGGACAAAAACTCTTATAGATCCCTCTGAAGGAACCCTTATGGATCTCTTTGAATAGAAAGATTCAGGGTTTGGGGGTTTAGGGTTTGTAGTTTAGGGTAAGAAGAGCCGTTTCTAGGACCTGGAGTAGGCCCCTATTCCCTTTTTTTAGGGTTCAGGTTCCCTTAAACGCCCCTTTAAACCAAAAAGGTCAACCTTTTCATTCCTAGGTTACTTAGGGTTTAGGGTTTGGGGTTTTGGGGTTTATGGTTTAGGGTAAGAAGAGCCGTTTCGAGTGAGAAGGTTTAGGGTTTCGGGAAGAGCCGTTTTGAACGAGAAGGTTTGGGGTTGGCTCAGGGTTTAGGGTTTAGGGGTTGGCTCAGGGTTTCGGCTTTGAAGTAGTGGCCTAACGCCAGTGTTTAAACGGTTGCTTGAAAATAATAAAGGAAGGGTTTTTCAATCGACAAGGTTTAGGGTTCTATGGGTTTCCGTAAAGGGCCCTTGTTATTTAGAATAGGGTTTTGCTAGGGGTGTTCGGGTGTAGGAGTTGGTGTTGTGTCCATATCTGGGTAACTCGGGTTCCAAGGGTTGAGTTTCGAAGTTGGGCGTGGTGACTAAAGTATACTTACCTTTGGTTAGTAGGGAATGGGAGAGTGGTAGTAATAGTAGTTATAACTGTATCCCATTCCTGCATCCCCTACTAACCAAAGGTAAGTATGGGAATCGTGGGTTCCCAGATGGAGTTAGAGCTCCAGTTCCCCATGCGATACCCTTGCAGGGCCATAACGGATCTTCAGGGTTTTAGGGTGTCTCTGAGTACTACTCTATCAAGATTGCAGACTAGCAGGAAGAGGGCAACCCTCACGTTCTTACGGCTAAACCCTTGAACCCTAAATCCCTAAACTCTACAGTAAACCCCTACTAAACCCAGGGGTTTAGCGCTTAAGGTCCTTTTAGGGTTCCGCTGAGGAGTTCTATAAGGGCTCTAGTAGTAGATCCCCGAATTTGGGGCCCTATACTACTAAGGATACTTTATAGGAACCCTTGTTAAGGGATCTACTTTTTGGATCCTCCACAGGGTCTGGGTAAGGTTGCACAAACTTTCATAGCTTCATGTCACGATTGGGCTTTGTGTGACTTGTGGATGTACGGCTTTGATGCAGGGGTATCAACACTGCATGATGCTGGGGTATCAACACTACAACGGTCTTGGCTCTTGCTTTTTCTTTGGGTTGTTGTCTTCCAGGGCTGAGTAAAAGGAATGGAGACCAAGTTTGCGGTAGTATGTATTCCAAGGTCCTGCAGTTGATATAGCACACTGAGGCCGGACAACCACTAACATCTATTTTCTGCAACCCGCTTCCCGAGTTGCGAGAATTTCGATTTCCTAGCGGTTAGGCGTTCAGTACTTTTAGATGCTTCAGTACTGATATACAATGTTTGGGGTCTCTCTGGTAAGATTTACCTGCTTTTCTTGTAGGCTCCGATTAGTAGACCCCAACATCGGTTTTTCTTGGAACCCAACTAAAAAGCTGGTTCTTTCTAGTGACAGGGAGGGTATTACTATGTTCAAGCGTGGGCTTTTTCGGGTCCAGATGTGTTTTGAGGCAGTACCCATGGCTTTTTAGGCTCATGTCGGCTTGTCAGGGTTTGTTAGGGGTTGTTCGGCTGTATTCGGGTTCATGGGAGTTTCGGGTTTTGAGTGTTGGTTGTCGGGTTGAGGATTTTCAGGCATTCTCTAGGACAAAGTGTACAACATATCACCATTGCTACAGCCGCGGGGGTTTGTTTCAATATGGTGCTTTGAATTGTCAGCACGAGTATGAATATCCTGTTACAGTAACTCCCGATGTTGCGTGTTTAGATTGCTAAGGCCCCTATATACGGACTTTTCGCTACCGTAGCTCTTCCAATATTGGTTCGGCTTTTCTACACTTGCACACCCCCGGTAGAGTATGTAATGTATGTCCGTGCCTCAGAGCGAACAACCATTTCTAACAATTCAAAATGGGAGTTTCCGAAAGTCGGGGACCCTGATATCCGTATTACACGGACTCCAGAAGAAGGTCCCCCCCCAAAAAAGGAAACTCCCAATAATCACCATCTGGTGGCCAGCTTCGGTTGGAGTGGGAGACCCCAGATGTTTCGGGTGTAGGATAAAGTTTGCACTTGCAACACGCGAATGCCCAGCCTTGCAAGCCCTGGCCGAGGTTTCAGGACCATAGGATACGGCCGGTTTGCGGCGTACTGCGTGATGCGGAGCCTTCGACTTTGCATTGCGGCCATCTGACGCACTATGACCCAGACCCCCTTTGGAGGATCGAGAAAGTAGATCCCTTAATTTGGGGACCTATACTACTAAGGCCCACATTTCAGGGATCTACTTTTTGGATCCTCCAAAGGGGGTCTGGGATAGTTGTATTATCAGTTTTCGGGCATATTATCCACTATAAAGCTGAAAGTGTACAGTTTTTTTGGGCTTATGAACTCAGCAACTAAGACTATGAAGTCTGAAGGTTTCGGGTTGCCGATCGTTTCCTTCCAACCGAAGGCTTCACCGGTCTACCCCAAAAAAGCCAAAACTCTACCTTAACCTACCAAAACCTACTTTTTTTGTAGTCCCTATAAATTGAATAGTAGGTTTGATAAGAGGAACCCGCAAAAAAGGAAGGGTTTGGTAGTTTAAGGTAAACCCTATAGACCTTTCGCCCGAGGAAGAGACACAGAGAGAGGAAGGGTCGGGTTTTGGTGTAAGATTACGATCATTCTAAACCCTAAACCCTAAACCCTAAACCCTAAACCCCTAAACCCTAAACCCTAAACCCTAAACCCTAAGGATTGGAGCTGCAGGCTGGCTTTCTTCGATGTGCATTGGTTGCGTTCAGGAGGTTCCTGTAGGCTTACGTTCGCCGCTGGCAGTTGCATAATATGTACGCCTCGCATCCTCAACGTAGAGTTTTATCCTAAACCCTCAAGCCCAAAACCCAAAACTCGCATCCTCAATGTAGAATTTCACCCTAGACGCTCAACCCTAGAACCCTAAACCCTTTAAACAGGTCGTTGGGTTCTTTGGGCTACGGGTAGGTGAAAGTAAAACACACCCGCATCCCGAAAATTCAAACTGACGGCGGTAGATGGAAAAGTGAAAGGGGCGGTGCGTCTTACGGTCCACAAGCTCCCCTAAACCCTGCCTATCGTCGCCATGGTAGTTCCTTATTTGGGGTTAGCCCTTTTTTAGGGTTAGGATCCTATGATATAGTTTTTGGCTAACCTAAACAAGGAACTACAATGGATACTATAGGCAAACCTTAAACTCTGATCCCTAAGCCCCCAAACCCTACACCGTGCACCCTCAACCCTAACCCCAAGGGCTCAAAGGACCCAATAATTAGGTACTCGGTTTTAGGATAGTAGTTTACAGGGTAGGATTTTGGAGAGTATAATAGGATTATTGGGTACTTGGACCCTTGGGCTAGACGCGAACCTGACATTCGTCTTGGAGGCCCTTTTGGGTTAAAAGGTCAGATCCTGCAGGGTCCGGCTGTGAACCCGCTGGCTAAAGACCTACTTGAAGGATCGGGGGACTTGGTAAGCACGGTTATAAGTACCCTAATTGGTTATAGTTATAGTTACCCTATTTGCAACCCTAACTTTTAAGTCCCATGATCCTCCAAGTAGTAGTAGAGTAGGTAACCTTTAGTTCCCCATGATACCCGACAAGTAGGAAGATGAATAAGGGACATGCAGCCCTCCGTTAGGGGTTTGGGGTTCAGGGGTTAGGTTTTAGGATGCAGGGCTTCGGGTTTAGGGGCTTTTAGGGTTTAGGGCAGATCTTTTTCATAAGGGATACTAGGGTTTAGGATTTAGGGTTCAGGGTTTAGGGTCTGGGATTTAGGGCTTAGGGTTTAGGCAGTAGTTGTTTTCTTTGTTACCGACTTCGCAAGTGATTCTATTACTTGCGCCATGAAGACGTCGATGAGACCCTAAACCCTAAACCCTAAACCCCAAATCGAGTGCCCCGGGTTCCAAGATCAAAGCTACAGACCCATTCATTGACACGTCTCCATTCGGCAAGCCCTGAAATTTTGGAATTCCAACCGACCACGGCTGGGCAACAGCGACCTGAGCTTTCCGAGGTCGGACTTCTTTACGCTGGTGTTCAGTGGCTCTCTGCGACCATCTCAATTACAGTCCCTTCCTTGCATTTCCGGGTGTAGGGTTTAGGGCTTCGAAATTTTGATTCATGGCTTTCAATACTATATGGGTCCTTCAAGTACCGTCCCTTGCTTGCATCTGGTGAAATAAGGTAAGGTTCTATAAGATTCCTTTACAAGAGGCCGTGTAGGGTGCTACAAGGGTTGCCATCTCACTTACCGTCGCTTCCTCGCAGTTCCAGTTTAAGATTTAGGGTTATACAGTTTGGGGTTTAGGGATTTTTTGATTTATGGCTTTTGGTGTTTGGTTCAGCTCCTTTCAGGGTACCATAAGGGCTACCATCTCGTCCTCGCAGCTCCGGGTGCACGATTTAGGGGTTTAGGGTGTGGGGGTTGAGGGGTTTTGGTTTAGGGTTTAGGGTGTAGGGTTTTGGTTTATGGCTCGGGTCATTAGGTTAGGGTCCTTTCCGGGTTCAGCTGTATGGGTCCTTCAACTACCGTCCCTTGCTTGCATCTGGCGTCGGCTCCTCTCAGGATTCGATACAAAGGATCCCAAAAATTGCCCCGTAAGAGTTTTTAAAGAGTAATATATATATATATATATATATGTATATATATTTAAACATATATTTATACACATATATATATATATATATATGTATAGGTGTTCTGTGTGCGTAATTACAAGGGTTACTCCGGCGGGGTTGATTCTTTCGAGTTCTCGTGTCCGGGATTTCGTCAGAGCTTTCAAAACCGCTTAACTAAGGATTACCCCAAAGGGTCCAAGTATCATTCTGGTATATACTTATAGGGCATTTTGGGGGTCTAAGTATATACCATGATGATAATTGGACCCTTTAGGTAGCATGATGCCGAAAACCTACCTATTTCCTGTAGTAAGAGCTGGTCTTTAGGATCCAGGTATAGTTCAAGGTCCTGGTATAACCCTACGGGTCCGAGCGCCTAATCATTACATACTCCCAATTACCAACTTGCACAACCACTATCCCAAACCCGGGCACCTAATTATTGTCTCCTTTGGCCCCCTAGTGCAAATTTGAGGTGGGGTTAAAGATCAAGTTGGCTAGCTGGGCTAACTCGGTCCATGTCCCAGAGGCCATAGTACATGATCCAACAAGAGTTTCAAGAATCCCCATGTTGCAAGGAGTTGATCCTGAACGCAGTGGCATTGTCTGCCGTCCTGCAGATTGACGAGATGCTCGGACGAGAATGGCTTGTGCCGACTTAGATTTGCTGCTCGCACCTGTCCAGAGAATTGGTTGAGGATCTGTTCGTATGTACAATAATCTCGGGACTTGCATGACAAGTTTTGAAGCGTTTTTTGGGTACATTATGTTATGATGGTAGCAGCAGCAACGGCCACAGCAACGACGACCACAGTAGTGGGAAAGGGGTCGGGTGGACACGCAGCCTCCCCTCCGGACGATATTCTTACGGCGAGGTTTCAAGCAGTAGCAGATAGAGTTGTCTTGCCACTCAAGCGAGAAGTTGGGTCTAGTTTGTTGGGTTTAGGGTTGAGGGGTATGTTAAGCTATAGCTATAATCAAGGAACCGCCGCACATAGTATTACTACGGTTGATGATATAAATCCTGCATGACCCATAATAAGGAATACACCATAATTCCCATAGTTTAGGGTCCTTAAGGTATTGCAGGATTTATATCATCAACCTTAAACCCTAAACCCTACAGATCCCTTAAAGGAGCCCCTTAGAGTTACCCTTATAGATCCCTTTAAAGGAACCCTAGGATTAGGGTTATCATCAACCGTAATTCTTCAGGCTTCTAGATTGGGCTTCCGGTGTGTGAGTTGAGGGTGTAGGAGTCAGGATTTAGGGTTGAGGACTCAAGGCTTGGTCTTTAGGGTTTAGGGCTTAGGGTTAAGGTTTCAGGTTTAGGGTTTAGGGTTGAGCATTTAGGGTTTAGGGTTTCGGATTTAGGGTCAATTTAGGGTTTAGGTTTAGGTTTAGGGTTTGGGATAAGAAACTCCGCACATCCCCAAATCCACACAACGGTGATTTTGGATTGGGGAGCGCACATATGAAGCCCAACTCATACCTCGGGCACCCAAGTTCGCGGCCAGTATATGAGAGTTTCCGAAAATAGGGGACCCAACTATAGTACCCTAAATAATAGGATCCTTATTATATGGACCCCAAAATAAGGCACCCCTAAGTTTCGGAAACTCCCATATTCCTGAAACCGATTCTGCCCTAAAGCGTCAAGCCGGGTAGGACTTGCGCCTCTACTTCGAGAATCATGGGACTTAGTAAGTAAGGTTATAAGTGCCCTACTTGGGGTTATAAGTAGTTATAAGTATAGTTGCCTTAAATGGAACCCTAGTTACTAAGTCCCATGATCCTTTAAGTAGGCCCTAAACCCTAAACCCTAAATCCTAAACCCTAAACTAAGTCCCATGATCCTCCAAGTAGGTAGTGTTTACGGAACCCAGGCCCTGAACATAAAGCCCTTTGACACAAAGCCTTATTGCCTCTACAGTCTCCTTCGGACTTCCTTGTATTTTTGCTCATATAAAACCGAAGAGAAATTTAAGCACAAGATGTTTATCATGGTTCTAAGCGGGGGTATAGGTCTGGCTGCCCCAGCACTACCCTCATCTTATGCCTGTTCAGCTTGGGGTTTTCATCGCATGGCGTCGCAGAAAGGCCCCCAGGCTTTTGAGGGCTCATATATTGAGTATTAAGGGGGTGTCGCATTGGTTGGTAACGGTGCCCATCGTCGCTAATCTAACATATGCATTATCATCGCATGATATAGCCTGCAACCCTATTTTAGTTATTTTCGGCCCCCTGTGGGAGTTTCCGAAAATAGGGGACCCTAATGTAGTACCCTAAATAGTAGGATCCTTAGTATAAGGACCCCCAAATGAGGTACCCCTAATTTTCGGAAACCCCCCTGTAGCTGAAGAAAGCCGACGCATGCCCGAGAGACCAGGATGGTCTTCGCCGCCCTCATGCCCAAAAAGATTCAGAAGCTCGTCTGGGTTATTCAGCGTTTTGTTTTAAAGGGAACTCCAGAAAGTTGGAATATGGATTAATGGTAGGATCCCCTATAATTTACCTTAAAGGGGTTACGATAATGATATTCCAACTTTCTGGCTTCTACTGTAGGGTTTAGGCTAAACGGGTTCAGGGTCAGCGGGTTTCGGGTTTAGGGTGTGTTCCGTCTCTTGTGTGTGGGCGTGTTCTAGATTAAGGCTCTCTTATGCTGGGTGCCGACGGACCCAACAAAACAATAGAAACCCAAAGCCGTATGAGCCAAATCCCGAAGCCGTAAACCCTGAATCCCTAAACCCCATGCAAACCTTAAATCCTCTAATCCCTAAATCCTAACCCCCCCCCCCCGCTTCCCCGAAGGGGTTCATCTTGGGCCAAAGAGGCGAAGTCTTGGAGTACTATACTTGGAGGATCATGGGACTTTGTAAGTCAAGCTATACGTCTGATTTGCCCTTTTTAGTGTAGGGTCCTCTTATTAAAGCCGAATAGTAGGAAAAAGGGTACCCTTATTCTAAGGAGGCTACTCAGGAACCTAGTAAGTAAGGTTATACGTACCTTAACTGGGGTTATAAGTAACCATAAGTATAGTTACGTTATTACTTTTAGCCCTAGCTTTTGAGTCCCATGATCCTCTAAGTATGGGTGGCCATCAAAACTAGGGCCCTGTTTGGTTTCCAAGTTCTAGGGTGCCGTAGTAAGAGGAGTAGGGCTCCCCAGCAGCCACGATGTTAATAGATACCCATAGGAGGTCGGCATAGCTAGTGATACGTTCTCTAAATTGCTTAAAGCAGGAACTATGTATTGACTTCAGACCCTAACCAGGTACTGCTTCTAGGCTTGAAGTCGTAGGGTCAAGGACCGTAAACCATGAGAATGCTGCTATATTGCTAGCTGCGCGTACTGCAGGATTTGCCCCTCGCCCCTCACGCCCATTTAGCTATGGGAAAGGCCCAAAGCCCACAGGCACATAGTACCCAAAACCCTTCCTATAGTCTCCATTGTAATTCCTTTTTGGTTAACCATTTTTTGGTTAGGATCCTTATAATACAGTTTTTGTTTAACCTAAAAAAGGAACTGCAATGGAGACTACAGGTAAACCCTAAACCCAAACTCTATACACCTAGGTAAACCCTAAACCCAAACCCTATAAACCTAGGTCTCTAGGTAAACCCTAAACCCAAACCTTATAAACCTAGGTCTCTAGGTAAACCCTAAACCCAAACTCTATAAACCCTAAAGCTCTGATTCTAAAGGCTGGTATTAAGGTTTAGGGTTTAGGATCTACTTTTAGCTATTCGGTGTGTTAGGGATGTGAACTCATAGCTCCTCCCCAGTCGCTATTGGGGTTTAGGGTTTGCGACTTTCGCTGCAGTGCGATTTTTGCTGCAGCTGTCCTTGACGCTTTCTATTTTGGAGTGCCAGTTGAAGGAGCTTTGTTCGTAAGTGGTTACTGCCCAGACCCCCTTTGGAGGATCCAAAAAGTAGATCCCTTAATGGGGGTTCCTATAAAGTATCCTTAGTAGTATACTGTAGGGCCCCAAATAAGGGGATCTACTTTCCCTTATAGATCCCCAAACCCTAAACGATCCCAGAAAGGAGCCATTTAAGGAACCCTACTAAGTCCCATGATCCTCCAAAAGGTCTGGGTGGGCAGCAGAGTCTTTGAAGGTCGCGTTAAGGCCTTTTCGGAGCAGATCGCCTTTCATGAAGACCCAACAGGGTTTAGGGTTTGGGGGTTTAGGGTATAGGGTTCCAACCTTGAACCTGTTCTAGGTTCCTGATTAATACCTTGGGTATACTGCCCCCACTCAGTGACAGTTGGATAATATTTATAATGTTGCTATAGTAGGACCTTAATAGTAGCCCCATTATAGACTGTTACTGTATGGGGGCAGTACCCAAGGAATACCCTTTTACACTTTTTAGTTCAGGTTCTCCTTATTAAAGCCGATATGTAGGAACCAGGGTACCCTTATTATATTATAACGGGGCTACTCAGGAACTAGTGTTTGTGTTCTTCTAGTTTAGTTTAGTACTAGTCCGAATGTCTAACCTTCCATGTCTGTGCCTTCCCTAAACCCCCAACCCTAACCTTTCATGTCTGTGGCATATCGGGGAAATAACGGAGTATCCCTAGGTAGGCCTGTGGGACACTTTATATTTTCCCTTTTTGGGCTTAATAGGACTCTATTTACGAATATTTTTCAGAGGCCTTGAAGGGCCAACCTAGATCCGATCTGTTGGCTCTATCCCCCAAACCCTAAACCGTGGCTCAGCACAGGATTTGCATCCAGGACCTCGATGCTATCAAGGTGAAGTACAGCCAGCGTCTGAGAACTTCAGGGGTTAGGGCTGACCTGAAACTACCATAGCCTACCTTTTTGTAGGTTCTTCTTACAAATCCTAGTACGGTTTTTAGGTTTTGGTAGGTTAAGGTAAGGTTTAGAATTTAAATTTAGGGTTCAATTTTCGGGCTAAGGGTCTACGCCTTAGGCTTGGCTTCTTATTTGGGCTCCAAGAGCCTTGGAGGGTTTCATCGGGTGTTTGTTGGAAGTACTTGGAGGATCATGGGACTTACTAAGTATGGTTATAAGTACCTTAATTGGGGTTGTAAGTAGTTGTCAGTATAGCCCTGATAGTAACCTTAGTTACTAAGTCCCATGAGCCTTTAAGTAGATACACTAATGAAACTTACCTCCTGTAGTAGGGATATTGTCTCAAGAGCACGTCGTTCGGTGTTTTTTTTGCGACTTATATTTTGGCTTCTTCAAGGGTTCCATACTTAGAGAATCATTTGACTTTGTGTTTGGAGCTATAAAATAGGTAACTAACATTATACTTGGGGCCTACCAAACGCCTAAGCTCATCCATGCCCTAACCCTAAACCCTAAACCATGAACCCTAAACTAGACCCCAAACCGGAAGAAGCAACTCTGAAGGATCCCGTGGTCCTTACGTTGCAAACACGCCCGAGGCAAGTTTCGAAGCCAAACAGAGCCGCTTGCCGAAAGCGCAATCGCAAGGGGGGTTTGAGGGGGTTTGAGGGGCTTAGGGGGTTTAGGGTTTTGGGATCTCTAAAGGGTTCCTTTGAGGGTGTAGGGGGAAAGTGGAAAAAGGTTTGAAGGTGTAGGGTTTGGGATTTAGGGTTTAGGGTGGGGGTGTAGGGTATGGGGGTTGAGGGTTTATTGTTTAGGATTTAGGGTTTTAGGGTTTAGGGGTTAAGGGCTTAGGGTGCAGAGTTTAGGGTCTATGCAGGGTTTTGGGTGCAGAGTTTAGGACTTATGATTATGTCTTGTTTTGCGGCTTAGGGTGCATGCCCTTCAGGGGCGTCTTCAACCAGAATCCTTCTAGACATTCCTTACCCAAAGAGTCTTCCTGCATACCCAGAGGGTCCATATACGCTACTATTATGGATGTAGGCCCCCGAAACCGTACTGGGGATGGTCTGTTAGTACATGGACCCTCTTATAGAGCTTTAGGCTTCAGACTCAGTGTATTCAATGGCCTGGGGAGCAAAGCCCTGAGCCAAAAACTTGTAAGACCTGGTCTTCGACCCAAGGCACCCAAAGCCTTCAGCTCGCACCGTCCCCCTCCCCTGCAAGGTTTAGGGTTCAGGGTTTAGGGCTTAAGGCTTAAGGTTCAGGGTAAACTCAAACACCCAAAACCTGTTAGAGGTTGTTTAGGGTCCCTATAAAGGATCCTGTAAAGGGGGTTTAGGACTCCTTTAAGGGATCCTGTACAGGGGGGTTTAGGGTTCCTTAAAGGGATGCTTTAAAGGTATCTTTTCATGGTATGGGGTCCTCAATTATGGGATCTGCTTGTTAGATTTTTGCGAGGGTCTGGGAAGCCTTAAACCCCACTGTATACCCCGTATACCCTAAGCCCTAAACCCTAAAACAAGCAAGCAACCTACCAACCAACCAACCTAAGCACCTACCTAAAACTACCACAACCTACCTTTTTTGTAGGTTCTTCTTTTCCTCCTAATGCGGATTTTATAGGGACCCTACAAAAAAGTAGGTTTGGTAGGTTAAGGCAGATACCAACTAGGATGCCCAGTAGTACCCTTATTCCCTTTTTGTAGTCCTAGGTTCCTTATAAAGTTACCCAATACCAAAAAGAGAGACCTTTTTATTCTTAGGTTACTGGGTATCCTAGATAGGGTTTGCTATAGTCTCCTTAGGAATTATTTCTATTTTTGTTCATATAAATACCTTAAGAGAATGTTACGCATAGTTTTTTGACATGGTTCTAAGCGGGGTATAGTTTGGAGATGATGTTTGTAGGGCCTATAGGGTTTGCAGGCTTCATAGGGCTGAAAGGGCTTATAGGGTTGCAGGGCCATTGTAGGGTAGTTTAGGTTCAGCAGCTGGTGGACGAGGCCTTCCGGTACAATGTCTTCAGGGTGAAAACACAGCGGTACGATTTTCGAGGGGGCGCCTTTGCTTCCGCTCTCCCTTGGGGTCTGTGGAGCTGAAATCATTGTCGAGTCGACTGAATTCACACAGCAAATCCTTCTGCAATTCAGCAACTCTATGAACGTCAGACTCCGAGGTCTTTGGCAGCCAACGTATGATGCCCCTCCCCTAGCCCCTTCTTAGGATACCTAGTTTTCCTGCTATCCGAACCACAAAGCCAGGTACCCGAAACCTGAAGCAGGAACAAAGGCCCTAGGTTACAGTTTAGGGTCGGGGTTAGATTAGAGTTTAAGATTTAGGGTTTCAGGCTTATAGGGTAACTCGGACCTCGACTCACCCAAAAACTGCCTCTTTACGCCCCCGAAGACCCGAAATGCAACATACCACGCTTCCCGATTTCAGCTTTGCCTGCTACCCTAAGCCCTAAACCCTGAAACCCTGAAACCCTAAACCCTAAAACCCTAAAACCCTAAACCCTACACCCTACACCCCTCCCTAAAGCTCTAAACCCCTATACCTAAAACCCTTATAGTAGCCTTATAGACCCCTTTAAGGGACCCTTATGGATCCTTTTAAAGGAACTCTCATAGATCCCTTTAAAGGAACTCTTATAGATCCCTTTAAAGGAAACCGAAAGTGCTCTGAGGTCCATGTACCCAATAATCATATACTCTCCAAAGCCCTAACCTACATAACTACTACCCTAAAACCGAGTACCTAATTATTGGGTCCTTTGGACCCTTGGGGCTTGCAGATCCCTTTAAAGGAGCCCTTAAGTCCTCTGAGGTCCATGATGCTCTTGGCCTTGATTATGGGCCTGCTTCTTTGGCCGCGGCTTGTCGCAGGGTTTGTTTAGGGTTTAGGGGTTTAGGGTTTAGGATTATATGATTTTGGCGTGTTTCCCAAAGGCACCATGTAGAAATTGGGACTTAAAAGCCCATATAGGTACTTTGAGGCAAAAGTATATACGGGCACATGGAGCCTTACGGTTCAGGGTGTCGGGTTGGAGTATGTAACTTTGGCTTGTTTGGATTTTCGGGATTTCGGAATGTAGGGGCTTTGGAGTTTAGCCCCGGCGGGGGAGGGTTTAGGGTTTCTGGTTTAGGGTGAAGTGGATTGTGCGGCCAAATCGGGGGAGCCGACAAAAGCCAAACACATGCACTCTTTTTGGCAAAGCTTTCCCATACCCACGAAAATACTCTTTGGAAAAGCGATGGATTTTGCAGGATTGAACACATCTTGGATTTGGGATTTCCGACAATAGCGTGCTCGGACTGCAGGCTTTCGTGGCTGTTTTTGTATATTGTTGGTTTGATGTTCAGTGTTTTTGGGGTGTTCGGTTTTCAGGTGTTGGGTTTGCAGACTCTAAGATTTTCGAACCTGCTTCAGGCGCAGGAGTTTGGGCCATGTTGGATCTGCGTTTTCGCACTTACGCCGAAATTCAGGACTTGTTGGGGGATGTTAGGGTTTACCTACTCGCGAGGACCTTAAGCCCTAGATCCTAAACCCTACATATACGCCTCAAGCCCTAAACCCTATAACCCTAAACTTTAATTAATTCAGTCCTAAACCCTACCTTAAGCCTGAAAAATCTACCGTTTTAAGGACCTATATAAGGAAATCAGAATAGGGAACCCTAGAACCCTAAACCCTAAACCCCTAAGCCCTAAACCCTACACCCTACGAACCCTTAATCTTCCATTCCGAACAACCTAAGCCGCCAAGAGCCACTCCCAGAGAGCTTTGAAAACAGAGCTCGGGACTCGGGATTGGAGTCTAGGAGTCCGTCCCTGTCTGGTTGAGGGTTTAGGGATTTCAGGCTTTCTTTAGGGTTCCATTTAGGGTGTAGGAGTTCTGGGTTCAGAGTCTAGGGTGTAGGAGTTCAGGGGTTCAGGGAGGGGTCTATGGAGTACGAATAGGGTTTTGGAGGTTGGGGGGTTTAGAGCTTACGGTTTAGGATTTCGAGTTTGGGGGCTTAGGGCTAAACCTGGAACATAGACTACCCAAAACCCTGTTCGAAGTGCTACGGTCCGTAAATGCAACCTTACCCTAAACCCTCAACCCCATACCTTAAACCCTAAACCCCGAACCCTAAACCTTAAACCGTAAACCCCCAGAGTATCCCTGAGGTACATTTGGAATGTGGGCCCTCTCGGGGAGAAGATGCTCGAGGTGAAGAGAGCGCACCTGGGCTGCCCAAATAGGGGTTTAGGGTTCAAGGGTTCCTTTAAGGGGTCTCTAAGGGTTCCTTTAAGGGTTTAGAGTGGGTTCAAGGATTTGGGAGTTCCGGAAAATAGGGGACCCCAATATGGTACCCTAAATACTAGGATGCTTACCATAAGGACCCCAAAATATAGCCTAAAGGGTAGCAGAACGGATTTTTTTGGTTTTGGGGGTTTAGGGTTTAGGATTTTGGTGGTCTAGGATGTAGTGTTTAGGATTTTGGGGTTTGTTGTTTTTTGGCTTAGGGTTTGATTGGGATGGATCCTCCGTAGGCTTCCTTTAATTGGGGTGTATACTAGGTACTGCCCCCCATACAGTGAGAGTCTAGAACAGGGCTACTATTAAGGTCCTAATATATCTGTATTATGAATATTATTCAACTACTACTAAGTGAGGGCCGTACCAAAGGTGTGTACTTGGAGGCTCATGGGACTTAGTGGGTAAGGTTTCAAGGGTTCTATGCTAAAAGTGTTCCATTAAGGGTCCGCTTAAAGGGCTCTCTATATGGGTTGCGGGCTTAAGGTCTACATAGACCCAATGACGAAGTCCCATGATCCCCCAAGTACGGGTTTAACAGAAAAGATTTGGGTTTTGGCGGTTTGGTTGGGATGGTTCTTCTCAAGGGTTCCTTTAACTTTAACTTCAGATTGAGTCTACAGGGGTTTCATAAGGGGTTCTATATGACGTTGTAGGAGTATGACTGCCAATACGATTCCTGAATAGAACTATACTTAAAATCCCGCAAGCCCTATGGACATGTTTTCAGGCCCTGTCTTACTGCAGTGGAGGCTTTGCGGAGTTCAGGGCCTGGGTGGTGTACATATTTTGAGGGCAGGCAAGGATTCCTCACCCAAGAGCTCATATGTCGGTGCTTTGTTCTGGTTCCCGGGCCAGGTCAAACACCCCGTAAACATACGGATCTTGGGGTTCGGGGGTAGTGTATCAAAGGGGAAAAGGAGGGACCCTTAATGGGGACCCCTAGCCTATAATGGGCTATATAATGGGTATGAAATAGCTATATTGAGGGTATATACCTAGGGGTCCTTATTAGGGGTCCCTCCTTTTACCCTTGGATGTAGGGCATAGGATCCTTAGAGCCTTAGAACGGCTTGTTGGTTTTTGTCGGATAGTTTCCTCATAAACGGCCCCACGCCCTGAACCAAGCCCTCGAGTTCTAGAGATTCTGAGCTTCAGGGTTCATTTTTGACGATAAAGCCTCAGAACACTTTTGATCCGACATCTTCCACCGGACAGCTGCGATCGAACCCTGCATTGCAATGCGAAGTCCTAGATTCCCTTCTTTTGGGTTTAGGGGGGGTGGGCTTTTGCGTTCCACTTCGAAGTACAAGACTGGCAAGAAGTCGCGAAGCCACAAGCCTTAAAAGCAACCTCGCGATTTGCTGCCCAGTGCAGCAAACAAGGTGACAAGACTTCAATAGGCCCTTAACCCTGAACTCTAAAGCAGCATTTACTTGAAGAGTTGGCTCGCCTCAACGATCATCTTAAAACCACACCAGCACTAAACTCAAAAACCCTGAAGAAGGACAGGTCTGCACCGCCCGTACCTCGTTTTGTATCGCCATGTGGAACTAGATGTCAACTCGGACATCATACTAACTTGCAAGAGCACCTATCATCCCAACCCCACCGTAAACTAGGGTCCCTCTAATTACATATTTGGGTCGCTTTGGGTCTATATGATGTAGTTTGTGGTAGTTTAAGGTCAAAAATTAAAAAAACGCAAAGCCTAAAACCCAGGTACTGCGATGGCAACCAGAACTTTGTCGTCGGATTCAACAGCGACCAAGGGGCGGGGTAGCCTTGTGCTGGTGTCTGTGGGGAAGAGATTTAGTTTTTTGGGGTTTTGGGCTCACTGAACAGGTGTCTGTGGGGAAGAGATTTAAGGTTTAGGGCTTCGAGTTAAAGCCTATTGCGCGCTCACCGAACTGGTCTGAGATTTAGGGTCTAGGGTTTCGGGCTAAAGCCTAAGCGGCTAACGCGAGGGATGTCCATCCTGAAAAGCTGGATGTTGTTTCGTTTAAGATTGGCCGTTTGTATACTACGGGATCGACAAGGTCGTGGGTTTGTTTTGGGTCGCAGGGGCTGATAGAATTGAGGTGAGGGTTTGGGGGTTCCTGGCTTTCGGGTTCATGTGTTTTAGTGCTTTCGGTTCTAATTCTAGGGTGTTCGGGTGTTGGGGATCTGGGCGCCAGCGTTTCAGACGGGTTGAGTGAATGTTTGAAGGTTCCCAGACATTCCAACAAAGCCTCAATTAAGGTACCTTAAAACCTAGTAAGATCCTTATTAACTTAGTAAGGTAAGTATGTTCCGTAATTAAGGGACAATGCAAGGTCTGGGTTTGGTGCTTCGGCCAAGGCTTGGTCCATGGGCCAACCTCCCCGAAATGCAGTAAGAGCTGGGGGAGAGCATAGCATCAGGTTCCGAAGTCATGAAACTTGAGATTAGGGCTTAGGGTTTAGGGGTTTAGGGATTGGGAGCATGAGGTTCTACAGGACCCCGCCCTTAAACCTAAAGCGTCAAGCATCTTCAAACCTTAGGTTTTTGTTTTTTCTAGGTTCCTGAGTAGTACCCTTTTGCCCTTGTTAGTCTAGGGTCCCCGTATTTAGAACCGATTGGTAGGAAAAAGGGCACCCTTGTTCTAAAGAGCTCCTATACTATTTTGGGGCCCTTTATTATGTTTACCGTATTCTGGGCCTCAAAACCATGTTCTCAATATCAAGGCCCCTATACTACACCCTTACTTGGAGGGTCGGGGGACTTAGTAACTGGTTATTTTAGGGACTTATAAGTACCATAACCCCAATTAGGGTCCCTTTTAGGGTACTTATAAGTCTACTTACTACCTACTTACTAAGTCCCCCGACCCTCCAAGTATAGTACTCTTATGGTACCCCTTTAAAGGAACCTCTGGGGTCTGGGTTTGAGAGGGGCCGTCAGTCCCACACCCTGGCCCCGAGACCGTCCGAAAATGTTCTCACGGTGCTCCATCGGTTAGGGGTTTAGGGGCTTATTAGGGTTTAAGGTTTAGGGTTTAGGGTTTACGGTTTAGGGTTTAGGATTTAGGAGTTTCGGGTTCAGGGTTTAGGGTTTAGGGTTTAGGGGAGGGCTTTTCTGAAAGTTCAAGTACTTGTATGTGGATCTTTCCGCTCAGACCTCTGTATGTAAGGATGTCTCGGCCCCAATTTCATGAAACTTCCCTTTTGTTTAAGGTAGGATTCTCTAGCTTTGTGAGACTTTGTCCAGTGACTTGAAAGCACAAGTCTACACTCGCAGGTCACAGTGGGACTGGTAACGGTGCCGCACCGCGTCTGAATGGCTTCAGGCCAGTTCCTTAAGGCATACGGGTCCTGAACGCTAGCATCTCACATAGAATATCCCCGACAGCGGCTTTCCATCCCATACCTATCTGCTCTCATGGCACCTTGAATCTTGACAGCCCGACAACCCGGTTTCAAGGGACGACAGTGAGCCCGGAAGGCCGAAAACCGCTAACACGGGGATCCAAAAGACGACTGCGGCTAGTCGCAATGCAGGTTAGTAGGGATGTACGCGATTGTCAGTCACTGAGGCCCCTCTTATAAGGTCAAACCAGGTTTTCAACCACACTAAGCCCTGAAACACTCAAAAACCTAAACCTTCAACTGCGCGAAGGCCTCAGCCTTGGTAGCTAAGTCCTTAGACCTCCGGGACGATCCCCCGGCTCTATCCCAGCCGACAGGGTTTAGGGTTGAGGTAGCTGTCTAGGACCACCCTTATCATACCACTATGTACCTTAAAGCCTATTACCTTAAAGCCTACCTATCAGGGCTTCTACATTCATGAACTGATGGTGAGGTATCTTTGCAGGGGTCTCCTGCTTGCCCTACGAGACTAAGGCCATAACCCTCAAAGTTCAATCACCAAATATCCACAAACTTGCAGAAGTATTTGCAAACTTGCTGTGCTTAACCTGTGCACTTGCATTGTCTGTCACTTAGGGTAGCCGCACCTCTCTCTCTCTCTCTCTCTCTCTCTCTCTCTCTCTCTCTCTCTCTCTCTCTCTCTCTCTCTCTCTCTCTCTCTCTCTCTCGCTCTCTCGCATTCGGGTCTAAAGCCCTCTCGGAGAGTAGAGGTGATAGGTAGAGGTGTTCGTGCTCAAAGAGGGACCCTGATCCCTAATCGGGGTTATCGTATGCATAACCTACAAATGTTTGAAACTTGCTGAGCCGCTAAGCCCCCAAGCGCTCCAGGTGATCCTATCGATGATGGTAGCAAACCCTAGGGGTCCATGTACCCAAATAGTATATATACTTTGGCCTTAAAGTAGTCCCTATCTAGGTGCTATTTGAGTACATGAACCCTGAGGGCAAGTTTTGGGAACCCTGGCTTCGTGTCGAGCGGCCGACCCGACACCCATCCATCTCAGCTGTCAAAGGCTGCTTTCATGTGGGCAGTTGTCAAAATTGAGGTCCCTTTTTGGGTACCATAAATATTAGGTGCCGTATTTTAATAGATACCCCAAACGGGACCCTAATTTTGACAACCACCCATGTGGAACTCCGCAGGCAAGCAGAGAGCAAGAAAGCCCCCCCCCTTTAAGGCAGTTTGGGGGTGAAGCCTAAACCCTAATTGAGAATGGTTGGGGTGCTTGGGGCGGGACTACATGCTCACGCAAGCACGCAATAAGTGGGTGAGCCCCTATTCTTACTTGTAAAGTAAATTGTAATGGCGCACCCACCCTGAACCCCAGAGTTGGGCAGTTTTGAGCTTCCCCAAGCCCAAAACTCTGAAACTTGGGGCTTATGTTTAGGGTAAAGCCGAAGACCGGCAAGCTTGAAACTCGACAGTCCTGAACCCTTGAACTCTTAAGCCCCAAGGTACGTCGAGGACCAGTCAATTAAGTCGGTGAGCGAGATCGCCGTGCATGCCTCAACTAGAGGGTTTAGGGTTTGGGGTTTGAGCTTTTTTGGCTTTAGAGCCTATTGGTTTTAGTTTAGGGTGTGTTTAGTGGAACAGGTTTCGACATTAGGGTTCGGTTGGGCTCATATGGGGCTCATTGGTTTGATAGGATTGATATCGGGTTTGTGTTGGGCTTGCAGGCTTAGGGTGTAAGGGTTACACTTGGTGTCTATTAACCCTCCTTTGGGTTCTGCCGGCTTGCTTATGGGGGTCGCCTTGGGGGGATCTTGGCACCTAGTAAAATAAGTAAGGTGAAGATTACAATAGTTGGAAGTTAAAGTAATTATGGCTATGCCGCTATTCTCCGTTGCAGTTCCCCTTTTTCGTTATCCAGCTTTATTGTAAGGATCCTATTTGTAGCTTTTGGTTAGCCACAAAAGGAACTACAATGCAGACTATAGGTAGTTACCTTGTTTATAACTCCACTTAGAAAGTCGTATGATCCTCTCTAAGGAAGGACTTACTGGGCAGGCCGATGCGGGCGCGGGCTAGCAAATCGTGCCTAAACTACCATACCGTATTTTGCTGTGGGTTCTTATCAGTTACAAACACTCATGTCGAATGTACAGGGGCCTTACAACAGAGTCCCTCAACCCTAAACCGTAAACCCCAAGGTTAAGGTGTGTCCTAGACCCTGGTCCGGCATTGCGCATTCAACTCTATTCAATCTAAACTCTAATGCCCAGAAAGCCAGAATGTAAGTCCAAGCCCATACACTGAAAGCCCAACACAGATGACAACGGAGGACCCGAAAACCGCAAACCCTGAGAGAGCCTAGGAGCCTGCAGTAGAAGCGAGAGTCTCGAAGCTTCATCTCCAATATCCCTTAGCTAAGGAATGTTCCTTAAATCATATGAGGGATCTTACTATTATTGAGGGTATATTTCTTTATTAATGAAGGGAGACTGGAGTCTCTGGGTTCGCCCGATCCCAAAAGCGCAATGAGTGAAAGTCAGCATGAAGCAGCCTCGAAGCCCCAACGCTTAACCCGTAAACCCTAACCTTACATCATAGGGATCCTTAGGGGTGTAGGGGGAGGGGGGGTAGGGGGCCTTAAGGCCCATAATAAGGACTAATAAGGCCTATTTAAGGAAATATAGTCCCCTACACCCCTCCCCCCTACACCCGTAAGGATCCCCATGACTAACCTTACAGCAGAAAGCCCTACAGTCCTAAACCCAAAATCCTAAATCCTAAACCCTAAACCCCAAACCCCAAACCCCAAACCGCTGCACCCTTCGCCCGGAGCCTTAAACCCTAAATCCTGAGCTTGACTCCTCCTAAATTCCGGCATCCTCCGCCCTACTCGTGAATCGGACGCCCCAAGCAAGTCTTAAGCCGAAGCCCTCAAAGGTCCATGGTAGATCCTTTAAAGCAGTTAAAGGACCCTTGAGACTGCATCCCTAAACCTTAAACCCTAAGCCCTATTAGGACCGAAAGCAAGTTTCGACTTGGAGGCTTTATACTAGGAGCCAGAAAGTTGGAGCATGGATTTAGGAGGATGAGTGCTAGGATCCCTTAAACTTTACCTTAAGGGCATGAGGATAATGATGTTCCAACTTTCTGGCTTCTACTGTATAGGTTTTACCGTTTTAAGGCTTCACCCTCCGAGCAAGCCTTAAGCCGAAGCCCTCAAAGGTTCATGGTAGATCCCTTGAAGGAATCCTTTAACCAACCCCTTAAAGGACCCTTGAGACCGCAGCCCTAAACCCTAAGCCCTGTAAGCTGTACATAGGAAGCTATAAGCCCGGAATGACCATACCAGACCCAGAAATCTCTGTAAGATCCGCCGTACGCCCCTAGTTGAATTAGTTACATTTTGAGCACGAGGTGGCCGATTTCAAGGACCTCCCCATCGATGCCACCTCGCTCCCTTGTTGCAATGCTCGGGAAGAACTCAGAAACCCGTTAGGGCCTTTCACTAAACGTTACAATTATAAGGGTTAGGGTTCAGGGCTGAGCAGCGTTTTGCAGCGCATGCTTGTCCCTCAAGTTCGCATTCGCCCTCGGCACCTTTGGTCCCTGTCCATGCTTGTGGTGCATCCCATTTGGGAACGCATCCATGCCCACACCGTGATGACGTGCGAGCTTGTGGTGCATCCAATTTGGGAAAGCATCGATGCCAGACACCTGATCGTCCATGTTTGTGGAGCATCCCATGTGAGACAGCACCCATGCCAGAACCCTGATAGTCCTTGTTTGTGGTTTATCCCGTTCGGAAAGCATCCATGCCAGTAGCCCAGACAGTCCATGTGCTTGTTTGTGCTGTGCCCGATTTGGGCAAGCCTCCAGGCATGCCAGTACCCCTGATGGTGTCCATGTTTGTGTTGCATCCATGTGGTTTGCAGACACAAAAGCTCGTGCAGCAGCAAAACTTAGCACAGGTTAGCGCTTCGTTGGGAATCGCTTTACCTCGTGTTTCAGTGCCTCATTTTTCTCACAGTCCCAAGCACTGGTTTGCCAAAAGGCGGAAGGCTCGTGTTTGCCTTTCGAGCTTCGATCATGGGAACGCTTTCATCACCGTTTTTGACCTTGGGCTCTGGGATGTTCAATAGGCATTCTACATGGGGTTCTCGTGCAAAGTAAGTCCCTCTGATCCTGTAAGTATGTCATGCCTACCACAGCTTGCAGTGACCGTGGGTAGAGGCCGCTTTTGTGTACTTCTCCGGATGACTACTCCTTTGTTGCCTGCTCTGGGCCTGAACTAGCCAAAAGAACACCAAACCCGGTTTAGGGTTTAGGGTTTAGGGCTAGTGGCCGGCATCAGTACTGATTGGTATTTTATCAGAAAGTCTTTTTGCCGAACAAGATTACAATCCACCCTGAAAATCCCATTCTAATTGTGCAGACCCCTAAAGCCTAAACCCCTGCCCTACCCTTTATAGAGGTTCGGCTCTTTGGTTCAAAAACAGAGGCCGGTCGGGGGAGGTAAACCGAATATAGTCCTTCGGGACGGAAACCTAAGGTTAACTTCTGGTTCAGCCTTGCTATGTGGGGGTCCGTGCGTGTGATAATGCGGGGTCACGGCCTCCGGCCTGTAGGGTTGCAGGAGCCGGTCAGGGTTTAGCTACAAGCGTCTACACATGAAGCAACCGAGGAACTACATCTACTTCCAGAGGGACCCGTGCTGATTCACACTGAAGCTGTGATTTAGGGTTCTAAGTTTAGAGATGCTCAGGTCTGCCTATAGGTGTTTCAAGAAATTTAGTAGGTGGTGTCTTCCTGCCATCAGAAGTCAGGTAGACACTGATTCATAACCCCAGGCAACAATACTAAAGGGATTTTGCCTGTAAGTCCCTTTCAGAACGGGGGTACCATAAGTCTATACGAGTGATAGAAGGCTGAATTCTTACGAATATTCATTCCTCAGGTTTTGTTAATACTTACAAGACATCCCCCGAGACCCTTATCCTTGTCATTAAGGCCCCTATACCAAACCCCCGCAGCACCAACCCTTTAAAGGAACTTTGCAAGGAACCCTTTAAGAACCCTTTTCCTATGAACCCCAGTCTAATCATTACAGTAAGGCTTCCATATTCCGAGTCTTTGCTCCTCCCGCGCCCGAAGCCCAAAACCCCAATCGTCAAAGCTTGCCTAAAAAGGGAATATACCCTAGGCCTTTTTCAGGGTAATTGTTTACTTTTCTACATAACAGCTGCTAACCATAAACTAAAAGTATACGCAAACGAGGGGTAGGGTATGACCCCTTAGGAAAACCCTAAACCCATAACCCCAAGACCCGCCCCAGGACCGGACTAGGGTTCAGGGTTTCAGGGTTCAGTGCTTTAGGGTTTTAGGGTTTGAGGGTTAGGGGTTTAAGGGTTTAAGGCTTTAGGGTTCCAAGATTGAATCCCGATTCGTTGTCCCCTGAACGCCCAAGCCCGAGTTTGTAAGATGCTACTACCGATTGCTCCTTTGTCATAGTTGGGTTGCATTTTACGTGTTTATGGGTACTGGAATAAAGATTTAAAATCTTTAATCCTATCCCAACCATGAACTAGACTTCAATAGTCTTTAACTTTGCTATGTCCTACTAGATTACTTGAGCGGAAAGAGACCTTCAGAAGGAAGCCCCCAAATGCTCCTCAGCCATACACCCAAGATTTAGCCTTTTTCGTTTTTTTGGTGTTTAGGACTTAGGACTTGAGAGTTGGGGCATTGGGTTCGGGGCTTATGTTCTTCCAGTCCAGTGGTTTCGGCCATTAAACCTAAAGGGCTCCCTGTCAAGGGCTCCTGTAAGGGTTCCTCAAGGGCTCCTTTTAAAGGCTTCCTTTGCGGGCTCGGAACCCCACCTTAAACCCTGACGACGCCCATAGCCGCAGAATGTATCCGACCTTTCTTGTCTGGGCCGGGGATTCTGGTTTAGGGCTCTGAAAGCAGCTTGTCATCGTTGGAAAGTCAGACTCCGTCAATGTTTTCCTATGTACGCTTTCATTGATCACTTACTTCTTGCAGGACCTCCCAAACTTCAACACGCAGCCTCTGGGCAAAGAGAGTTAATAGGGTTTAGGGTTTAGTGATTCTTTTTTGGGGGGCTTGGTGCTGAGGGGCAATACCTGGAGTTGCCGTAGTAGCAACTTGTTTTGGTGAGCCTAGCTTCTGGCCAGGCAGCCGAAACATCTAAAACCTGAGAAATAAGCCCTAGATTAGACCCTAAACACATGGGACGGCTTCAATATTTTGACCATGGGCTGCAGGTCTGAAGAACCGTCTCAAGTCAGGCTGCGTATCAGGGCTTACATGCATGCATAAGTGTTTGTTTTGAGGTCCTTAAAGGGGTTAATTGTGTTTCCCTGAGTGCCACTTGACTGTTCAGACTTAGTTTTAGGAGGTTGTGATGAGCAGGTAAGGTGGATGCCTGGACTTTTCAGGCTTTTATTTCCTGGATAGCTTAAACCCTAAAAACAAACACAACACCTCCCACCCCAAACCCAAACCCGAAACCCTAGACCCCAACCCTAAACCCTAGAACCCAATCCCTAGAGTCCTAAAGGTGCCCGAGTAAAGGAACCCTGAAAGGAGCACTCTGGGGGAACCCTACTCGGAGAACCAAAGGACTTAGTAAGTCGGGCTATACATCAGGTAATGTTTATATATTTATTTGTAACCTCAAGTAGGGTACTTGTACCTTGCTTACTAATCCCATGGTCCTTAAGTACAGCCTAAATCCTAAACCCTACGGATCCCTTATAATGCCCCTTCAGGAACCCTTTAATGAAGCCTCCTAGATTGCAAAAACCCCGAAACCCTAAACCCCTAAACCCCTAAATCCTAAACCCTAAAACCTCAGACCGAAGGCCCCTAACCCCAACCTGGACCCTAAGAAATCTACCGTTTTAGGGCTCCACAAGTCCCTAAAACGGTAGGCTGTTTGGGGTTAAGGTAAGTCCTCAATCGAATCTCTAGGCTGACGCAACCCATGGGCTTCCGCGCGTACCATGATGCGCAGTGCAGAGCCTCTCGGACGATCATGTGTTCTTGGGGGTTTTAGGGCGTGGAGCTTTGGGTTTGGGGTTTGGGTTTTATGGTCAGTAGAGTTTTTAGAGCTGAGTTTAGGGTTTAGTGTTTGCAGCTTCTTTTGAAGGCTGCTTGAAGGGCTCCTGTCGTGAAGGATTAAGGGTTCCATAGGTGTTTTTCAAGGAACCTCTTTGGGTTCCACAAGGGTTGCGTAATTCTTCTTTTTCCTCTTCCTTGAAGAGATCTACAAGAGTTTGGGCGTTTTGGGGTTTGGGGTTGTCAGGGCAAGGGTTCAGGTTTCGACAGTTCGACCCTGTTTTAATTCGGATGTCAAGCTTAGACCCGACTGAGGGCAGGGGTTTTTCTGGAAGGACCTGCACTCGTGTGGGTACCTCTCTTGGCGCATATGTGCCTTGTGCTCGCTTGGATGAACAGGCAGGTGCAAAAAGGAGTTCAAAAAAAAAACCAGAAAACCGTCACAAGAAAGGTACCATCACTCCAGGAGTCAGAGGAATTCTCAAAGGAACCCTTCAAGGAGCGTTTAAAGATATCATTGAAGACACTAGACCCTTTGCAAAGACCTTTGAAGGAGCCCGAACAGGAGTCTTACGGCAATCCTGGAAGGAGAGAGAGCTTGGCATGGTTGGCGCATTAGGGTTTAGGGTTCAGGGCGTTTGAGGTGTATTGCCAGGTTTTATAGATTTGTAGGGTTTAGTTTGGAGTTTAGGGTTTGGGGTTGGGCCGTATCTAAATGCGGGTCCTCATCGTCAGCCTGGCTGCGGAGAGAGCACCCTAATTTAGATCCAAGCCTCCATGCAGTTCTCATCATAGTTTGGCTTTCACAGGAGCCGCAAGGCTTCCGACGGTTGGACTGAAGAGGAAGGGTGCGACCAATGGACCGCTGCCGCACTGTCCTAAACCATAACTCCTAAACTCTTGCACCACATAAAGCCTGTCATTCATCAAACATGCGCATGAGAGTTGCCAAGAGATTGCATGGCAGATCAGCAGCAGCTGCGCGCGCTGCGCGCCCTGCAATCTTCTGCCGGTTATCCCCTAAACCCTACAGGCCCTAAGCCCTAAACCCCTGAACCCTAAACCCCTAAACCCTTACATATATGCCCCTTTAAACCGACAAGGGCACCCTTGTTATTCCTAGGTTACTCTTATGCCTAGGGCATGGGCCCACCGAAACCTCTTCGGAAAGCCCCCGCAGCTGTCCGATCGGCACCGATGACCACATATCATAAGGACCCTTAGGGGGGTAGGGGGCCTTAATGTCCATAATACGGAGCTAATAAGGCTTATTTAAGGAAGTATAGTCCCCTACCCCCCTAAGGGTCCCTATGAACATACGATGACTTGATGATGATGTAGACAATGCCATGACCCCACCCACATGCCGAAGCACTGCCGAGAGGCCTGGGGAGAAGATTCCTGGGGAACGGCTTAGGGTTTTGGGTTTAGGGGTTAGGGATTTAGGGTTTAGGGTTGACTTCACATGTTGACCATTGGTTCCTCCAGGAAGCTGGATAAGTACGGTTGATGATATAAATCCTGCATGACCCATAATAAGGAATATGCCATAATTCCCATAGTTTAGGGTCCTTAAGGTAATGCAGGATTTATATCATCAACCTTAAACCCTAAACCCTACAGATCCCTTAAAGGAGCCCCTTAGAGTTACCCTTATAGATCCCTTTAAAGGAACCCTAGGATTTGCCGTAATCCTTTCTGCTCTCCGAGGATTGGGACACGATTTATCTCACCAATGCCACGCACGAGTTTCAGGCCCGGCCCGGCTCTGAACCCGTCGGTTCCTTTTAAGGCTTCGTTTAAGGCCCAGGGCGGCTGTTTTTTAAGGGATCTACAAAATTTTAGGAGTTTTAGGGTCTAGAGTTTAGGGATGTAGGGTCGAGAGTCTAGGGTTTAGGGTTTAGGTTCTACGGTTCTGCAGTCATACGGCTTTTGTAAACGTCTACTATTTAAGGGTTCGGCTAAAGAGTCGTCTGATTTAAGGAATGTAGAATGTTTGAGGGTCTAGGATTTGCCGTCTAGGGCGTAGAGTTTACAGTAGGGTCTTCATACGATTTTGACAAGCTTTTCGTGAAGTTTTATGTGCCTGCCGTGGCTCGGGGCTTGGGGTTCCTGTCGTAATTGTAGTATTATAGGATCCTTAAGGGAGGGTGGTTCAAGGGGGGAGGGTATAAGGAATCCTTAGGGGACTGTAAGGGAACCTTACAAACCCTAGGGAGAATTAGGGATCACTAGGCTATATACCCCCCTTACACCCCCCTCCCTTAAGGATACTACAGTAGTATATTCTACCTCCAGAGCCTTGGTCTAATATGGGAGTTTCCGAAAATAGGGGGCCCTAATATAGAATATAAGGTTCCTTTAAAGGGATCTATAAGGGTTCCTTTAAGGGTTCCTTTAAGGGTTCCTATAATGGTTTAGGGTTGGGAGTTTCCGAAAATAGGGGGCCCTAATATAGAATATAAGGTTCCTTTGAAGGGATCTATAAGGGTTCCTTTAAGGGTTCCTTTAAGGGTTCCTATAATGGTTTAGGGTTGGGAGTTTCCGAAAATAGGGGGCCCTAATATAGTACCCTAAATAATAGGAACCTTATTATAAGGACCCCAAATTAAGGTACCCCTAATTTTTGGAAACTCCCATATGGAGAAGCCTATAACCTCTAATATGAAAAGCCTATAAAGGGAACTCCAGAAAGTTGGAATATGGATAAATGGTAGGATCCCCTATAATTTACTTTAAAGGGTTTAGGATAACCTTACTCCAACTTTCTGGCTTTTACTTCAACCTTTAGGGTTTCGGGTTTTGTTGCTTAGGGCTTAATGTAGGGACCTGCTTTAGAAAGCCTTGGGTCCCTTTTTTAGGGTCCTTAATAACACAGAGCCTCCAAAACACCTTAATTAAGGAATATACCTTAAATCATATTATGGATCCTACTATAATTTAAGGTATATTCCTTAATTGAGGGGTTTTGGAGGCTCTGGAAAGGATCCTAATATATTGGGGTCACAGACACAGAGCTTCTTATGTAATGAGGTTCCTACCTTAGGGTTTTTTGGGCTACTTGTAGTGGGACCCTAAACCCTAAACGCTAAACCCCTAAACCCTAAACCCTTAAACCCTACATTGTAGAATCCTTAAGGGAGGGGGGTCCAAGGGGGGTATATGGCCTAGTGATCCCTAACTCTCCCTAGTACTCCCTAAGGTTCCCTTACAGTCCCCTAAGGATTCCTTGTACCCTCCCCCCTTGAACCACCCTCCCTTAAGGATCCTAAACCCTAAACCCTAACCCCTAAACCCTAAACCCCTAAACCCCTTGAACCCTAAACCCTAAACCCCTAAACCCCGAAACCCCTAAACCCTAATCCCAAAACCCCTAAACCCCTTGAACCCAAAACCCCTAAACCCTAAAACCCTAAACCCTATACCCTCCCCCCTTGAACCACCCTCCCTTAAGGATCCTATAACTACACCCCGAAACCCTGGGGGAGCCTTGCAGTTTGCAGCTTGGACAGGAGTTCTACCGCGCACACTTCTGGTCAGCCGTGCTGTGGAGCGAGGAGCAACGGGGTATGGGTTTAGGGTTTAGGGTGTAGGGTTTAGTTTAGGGGTTTAGGGTTTAGGGTGCAGGGTTTCGGGGTTTAGGGTTTAGGGTGTAGGATTTAGTTTAGAGTTTAGGGTAGGGTTTAGGGTGTAGGGCTTAGGGTGTAAAGTCGGAGGCTTAGTAGCGGAGTAAGCAACCTTTAACCTTCTGGGGCTCAAAGAATCCGGCCATCAATTGAATATTAAGACTTTTTTTGGGCTGGGGTAGGCAGCCTCTGAGGAGAAGTCGGAAGGTTTAGCATCAACATCCTTCCTGAGCACAGGTAACCCTAGCACTAGTCAGCCTTCATGGACATTCCATTCTCTAGAGTTTGGTGTAGATGTTTAGAGCTTCCAGGCTTTAATGTCAAAGGGTTCAATTGGAGGAGCGTCGACTCGGAGGGTGGGCCGAAATCGCGGTTTTGAAGCACTCTACTTGAAGTCATTCCTCGTTGTCATACGTACAATTTATAGTACTGATATTACTGTTACTGTTGTTGTCATCATTGCATTGTAGCTGTGGTTGCTGTGGTTGCTATGGTTGTGCTAGTGGCTGTGGTGTCGGTTCTTCCTCTTATTATTCTTGCTATTCTCCGTATTCTTCTTCTTGTGGTTGAGCTTGTTTGCGTGCTCGTTCGATGGTTTACATGCTTGGTTGTTTGTTTGGTTGGTGGTTGGTGGTTGGTGGTTGTTGCTGTTGCTGTTTACAGTTTGCTGTTTGCTGCTTGTTCTTTCCGTATCTGCTGCTGTTGCTGTTGCTGCTCCTGCTGCTGCTGCGGCTGCTGCGGCTGCTGCGGCTGCAGCGGCTGCTGCCGCCTTCTGCGCCCGCCGCAGCTGCTGGTGCTGGCGGTGCTGCTGGTGCTGGCGGTGCAGGTGGCGCTGGTGGTGCTGGTGGTGCTGGTGGTGCTGGTGGTGCTGGTGGTGCTGGTGGTGCTTGCGGTTGTGCTTGTGGTGGTGGTGTTGCTGCTGCTGGTGGTGGTGTGGTGGTGCTTGTGTGGTGGTGGTGGGGTGGTGGTGCTGCTGCTGCAGGTGGGGTCTTTACTGTCGTTGCTGTTGTTGTAGGTGGTGGTCTTGTGTTTTTTCCCTGTTCACATTTGTGTTATTGCACCGCCTTGTTTATTGCAATTGCTCTTGATGCTGCAGCTGCTGTTCTGTCGTTGGTGTTGCTGCTGTTCTGCTTCGTCCGTAACTTGTTGCCGTTTGGGTACGGCCCCCACTCAGTAATAGTTGAATAATATTCCTTATATAGATATATTAGGACCTTAATAGGTGCGTGGAGTGGTGAATTGAAGGAGAAAAGACAATGGAATGAAATGGGAGCGTGCTTTCCTTCTTTTAATTCAGCACGCACGCCTTATTTTCTGATGGGTGTTTTTAGTTGTAAGAATATTTATTAGTAATTTCTCTTGTTGGGAAATCTTACTATTTTCTTCTCACTTTTTCTTCTTTTAATTCAGCACGCACGTCTTATTTTCTGATTGTTGTTTTTAGTTGTACCATTGGGGTTTGTTTGCCTTTCTCTTTTATTTCCTTTACAAATCCCAATGGTGTGTTGTGTTAAAGTTAAAGGAAAAAGAAACAATGAACGAGCCGTGTGAGAGACGCGTGTTCTTTTGTCCTTTAACGCAACACACACGAACGGAACACCACAGAAACCCCAAAATTGACCACTCTCGCAAAGACAACTAATATCACTAATAAACTCTAACATCAACAACTCCTCCTATAATATTGTGTGGTGAATTTAAGAAAAACAAAAACAAGCGGAGCGGAAGGAATGAGAGAAGCGCGTGTTTTGTTTAATTAAATCACACCAGCACAACCAGGAAATTAGGTGTGTTGAGTGTAGAGAATGGTTATTTTGGTTCTTTTGTAATGTAATGAAGCGAAACATGAGCGAAATGAAAGCACGAAAAGGGCCAAAATAAACATGAACGGAACCTGGATTTGGAAGATGACCTAATTTCTAAAGGTCTAATCTTATTACCGGTTTCTCCTATTAAACTAGAACTTATTTTATGAGGAGAACTTTGTTTGGTTTTGGTATTTTGCCTTATTTATAATGAGTGAGAGAAACGAATGAAGCATGAAATAAGGCAAAAGCACAAAACAAAGAGAACGTAATCAGGAGTTTAAAGGAGAATTCATTAATGAATCTTATCCTCACTACATTTAGTTCATATTTTACACCTGGATTTATTAATAAATGGATTCTAGTAGATTTTGGTAAGGATATAATCATTAGGGAATATAGTTGTATCTTTATAGGAGGCTTTCTAAATGATTCCATTTCTTACTGTTTCCTTCTTATTCCTGGACACCTACTTTCATTCTAACGGTGATGTGGTTAATGTGGTGAAATTAAATGAAGAAAAACAAACTAGTGCGTGTTTTCTTTATTTAATTTTGACCACTTATGAACGAAATGTGTGCCCTTTGTTGTTTCTTTCTCCTTTGCGTTCATGCTTCTGTTCCTTCATTATAGCGCAAAGGACAGAAACACAAAGGCACCACACACTCCTCTACAACCAACACCAAGGAACCGTGCGAAGTGAGATGTGGTGATTTTAAAGAAGAGAAAATAAGGAACAAAGGACGCATGTTTCTCTTCATTAAAATCAGCACATGAACGCCCGAACAAAAGACCCAGAAGACACAGCACCACATTTTTCACTTATTAGTATTTTTAGGTGTATTCATATTATTAGTAATGCTAGGTTATCTGGATTCATTAGGATATTCTCTTGTAGGATCTAGTACTAATATTCGTTGTATATTTATAAGAGAATTTACTAAAAATTATAATCTTTACCGTCTCTTCCTTATTTCCTTCTAACACTTTCATTCTCCTCTTTTCTGTGTTGTGTTTAAATGCAAAGGGAAAAGATAAACGTAATGGAATGTAGTGCATGCTTTTCCTCTTTGCGTTTAAATTCAACACCTTGGTATTTTGGAAATCTAAACATTTAGAAGTTACATCAGATTCATTTTGTTTTCTTAATTATAGTTCTTGGTTATTAATCTTTGCTCTTATTATAATTCTATTTATCTTTACAGGATTTAATATTTATTGTTGGACTGGAATTCACTTCTCATAGAATTATTTTCTTATATTTTACCATCTTTTATTTGGATTAATTCATAGTTTTCATATTTGGTCTAGAGATTTATTAAGAGAAGTCACTAAAAATATGAAGTCTTATTAAAAATCTTGTTTCTTCTTTTTGGTGGTTTTCTAGTTTCTGCTTTTGGACATCTTTTCATTTATTATCTTCTCCAACTTTAGGGATGTGGCCTGGAGAAGCTTTCTATCTTCCAGATCCTTGTGAATTAACTTTTGCTAATACACTTCTTTTGTCTAATGCTGCCATATCTTTAGGAAATGCTTTTATTAATTTAGAAATTTCATCACAATATATTATTTTCTTCACTTTGTGGGTCATTCTATTTATCTTCTCTTTGTATTCGTTTGCAGATGAAAGAATTTCGTATTCTCGCATATTCAATTAATGATTCACTTTATAGTTGTCTCTTCTTTTTTCTTACAGCATTACATTTCTTTCATCTAATTCTTGGTATTTTACTTCTTTTTCTTATCTTCTTTTCTGGGCCTTTGTCCCTCCTTCGTGTTTTTTCATGCTTCTATTCCACTACGCTTCATTCCATTATAAATAAACACAAAGAACCAGAACAAAGGGAATATGATGTGGATTATTAAAGGAGAAGTAGACCAAGAAATCGTTAAGGAATTTCCTCAATAATTATTAAAGGAGAATTAGATTAAAGAATTTCTCTTCATTAATGTCTCCTATAATCATAAAGGGGGTTCGTGTGGTCTATTTTATTTCAATTAAAACAAGCGAAGCGGAGTGATGTGTTACATAATTCAAAGGGGAAAAGGAGGGACCCTTAACGGGGACCCCTACCCTATAATGGGCTATATAAGGGGTATATAGTAGCTATATTCAGGGTCTATAGTGCTCGATGTTAATGCAAATGCAAACCCAACCAGGGATTATTAAAACTAGCCCTAAACCCTAAACCCTAAACCGTTTGTTTTATGATGGTTTCAACGCGCTGCTAGTTTGTTACCCGAAGCATACCTACTTGCCACCCCGGATCCTTCAAGCGACGATCGAGTCTAAGAACGGGTTTAGGGTTTAGGGTTCAGGGGTTAGCGCCAGGGTTTAGGGGTTTCGGGGTTTAGGGGTTTAGGGGTTTCGGGTTTCGGGGTTTCGGGGTTTAGGGTTTAGGGTTCTCTGGTTGAAGCACCCGGCCAAAGCACCTGTGCTTCAGTTGGGCGAGACTGCGAATTGCTCTGCACCTCAGCTGCAGAAAAGTTATTTCCGCATGCCTTTGTTTCAGGATTTCCTTGAGGGTGCCAAGAATCCTCTCCGCAACCCCAATCCCAACAAGGCTTCAGGGTTCTACGTAGAAGGTGTTAGTTGGAGGTGCTTCATAGCGCTCTATAAGGTTTGGAACGATCTGGCATGAGGTTATATCTAGACCCTTGGCTAGAAAACTCTGGACTGTGTCTTTACTTGCTGTTTGCTTTTGGGATGCGGTTTCCTTTACGTTTGACCTCCAAAGACATGTATACCGGGAACGGTGTTGGCCAGTATGTTGGCATCTGGTGCTTGGATGCTTAATTACTTGGGACCCTAATCCCTTTACTAAGTCCCGTGATCCTTGTTTAGGGTACTCTATTGGGGTCCCCCATTCTCGGAAACTCCCACATGAACCCTTGAACCCTAAACCCTTTAGACCCCTTGTAGATCCCGTAAAGGAACCCCTATGATACCGTTTAAAGGAACCCCATTAACCCTATTTGGGTCCCCCCATCTAATTTGCGGAAACTCCCATGTTACCCTAAACCCTAAACCCTAAATCCTAAACCCTAAACCCTAAACCCTAAACCCTAAACTCCCATGTTACCGAGGAGATGGCCCAGTTCTGCAGCTCCTACGATGGCCGCCACTTGGACCCACGAAACGCCCAAAGAGTCCCAAGTACCTTTAAGGATTAAGGGCTCTTTTTCAGGGTTTAGGGCTTCTTTAAGGGTTCCTTTACGGGTTTAGAGTTCCTTGAAGGGTTCCGAAGTACCTATATAGAAGAATGTAGGGTTTCGTACTATTCTGATTTGGGGACGTATCCCCCATAACGGTACTTCGGACCCTTTGACTTTGAGAACCCTAAACCCCAAACCCTAAACCCTAAGCAAACACGTAAAACACCAGACGCGCACATGTAGGCCTGCAACAGGAACCCTAAACGGCACCCCAAAGGGAACCCCTAAGCTGAACCCTTAAACCCTAAAAGCCCCAACCGTAAGCCCTAAGCCCTAAACCCCAAGTCCTAAACCGTAAACTCTAAACCCCCAAGCCTTAAGCCCTAAGCCGAAGATCCCTAAACGAGACCCCTATAAGAGCCCCGAGCTCCGAATGCTCGTCATTGAGGATAAAAATCCTTACAGTAACCCTTATAGTAACCCTTATAGTACTCCTTCTAGGGTTGAGGGTTTAGGTAGTAACCCTTCTAGGTCCCTAAGCTTACTATTGGTTGATGGAAGAATGGTAGTAATAGCATTTATAATTGTACCCCATTCCTCCATTCCCTACTAACCAAAGGTAAGTAAGAGCCAGAATCCTTATAGTAATCCTTATAGTAATCCTTATGGTAGCCCTTATAGTACTCCTTCTAGGGTTGAGGGTTTCGGTAGTAACTCTTATAGGTCCCTAAGAGCCAGACAGTTGAGGACTGGTGCGGAACGTCTGCCCGAGGAGCTGCGGCTGTCCGAGCCAGTATGCGCAGCCATGGATGATGGCGGGCAGGGGGAGGGTTTTGGGGGTTTAGGCCTTACTTAAAGGATCATGGGACTTAGTAACTGGGGGTTATAAGTAAGGGAAATATAGTTGTACTTAACTTATAACCCCAATTAGGGTACTTAGAGCCATACTTAGCGCAACCGTGGATGATGGCCGGGGAGGGGGAGGGATTCAGGGGTTTATTTCGGTTTTAGGGTTCTGGGTTTAGGGTTCAGGGTTTAGGGTTTAGGGTTTAGGGAAGATGGCCAGAAGGGTATGGATGATGGCCGGGGAGGGGGAGGGTTTTTGCGGGGGTTTACCTATAGTCTCCATTGTAGTTCCTGTTTTTGGTTAGCCAATTTTATGGTTAGGATCCTATGATATAGTTCTTGGTTAACCAAAACATACAATGGAGACTGTAGGTAGGCTTTAGGGTCCAGGGTTTAGGGTTTAGTAAGGTAACAAAAGTTGTAATTACTTATAACCCCAATTAGGGTACTTATAACCATACGTAGTAGGTCCCATGATCCTCCAAGTAGGCCCTAAACCCTAAACGAAACCCTATAGATCCCTTTTAGGAACCCTATAGATCCCTTTAAGGAACCCTATAGATCCCTTTTAGGAACCCTATAGATCCCTTTTAGGAACCCTATAGATCCCTTTAAGGAGCCCTATAGATCCCTTTAAGGATTCAGGGTTTAGGGTTTTGGGATGACGGCCGGGAGGGGGGGAGATTAGGGGTTCAGGGTTTAGGGTCGAGGGGTGATTAGGGTTTAGGGTTTAGGGTTTAGGGTTTAGGGTTTAGGGTTTAGGGTTTAGGGTTCCGTTAGAGGAACCCTAGAGTACCCCTTAAGGGTTCCTGCAAAGATTCTACAAGGCATGCTGGCCGGAACGGGCAGGGTTCAGGGTTCAGAGTTTTCAGGATTTAGGGTTCAGGGCTTAGTGTTTAGGGTTTAGGTTTGTTTAGGTTTTAGGGTTTGGGGTTAATTTAGGGGTTTAGGGTTTAGGGATGATGGCGGGAAGGGGAGGGTTTAGGGTTTTGGAATGATGGCGACAAGGGTTTAGAGGTTATGGATGATGGCCGGAAGGGCTTAGGGTTTAGGGATGGCCGGAGGGGAGGTCAGGGCTTACGGTTGAGGGCTCGGGATTTGAGATTCCGTGCTAGGGTTCCTTCAAGCTCGATGCGGGATGATGGCGTGAAGGCAAGGCATAAGCAAGGGGCCTGACATTTGGTGTAGGGGTTAAGGGTTCGGGATACTTGGAGTATCAGGGGACTTAGTAAGTAAGATTATAAGTCCCCTAATGAGGGTTATAAGTACTTATAAGTATAGTTACCTTATTTATAACCCTAGTTATTAAGTCCCATGATCCTTTAAGTATGGGGCATAAGATGATGGTCGGAAGGGCGGTCTGCGCTGCGTGGAGGGTACTATTCCACGGGTGCCCGAAGGGCTGCTATTAAGCAGGGATTTGGGCCCAGGTTCACAAGGGATTAGGGTTTAGGGTTTGGTGTTTAACCTTAAACCCAAACCCTTAAATTACTGTAGGTTGTGGCCATGTTGCTTGGGAAAACGGGGGACTAAGTAAGTTTTCCGCCTGCAGAGTTATACACAAATGCCACAACTCAAGTTAGGATCCCACTTTCAACACCGATGTCTACTTACTACCTACTCACTAAGTCCCCCGACCTTCCAACCCAGACCCCCGGGAGGATCCAAAAAGTAGATCCCTTCATGGGGGTTCCTATCACGTACCCTTAGTATAGGGCCCCAAATCAGAGGATCTACTTAAACGAAAGAACCTTATACATATGGGTAGTTCTCTAAATTAGGGTCTTTGTTTGGGTCCTTTTGTGACGTAGATTTCAACGACAGAGCCCTAAACAAGAAACGTTGTAGTGTCTGAGCTCCCTCGTGTGTCAACAACGTGCATGCTGCCCGAGTACCAAGAAAGCCGACCTGCACCGCCAAAATCCTACTCTCGACTAAGGGTTTTGGTTGAGGCTTTGGGTTACGTAAGCAGCGAAATGTGATGTTACGAACAGCCCAGCAAGCCCTCAATGCTTAAGCGAAAGCCCTGCAAGGTCAACGCAGAGGGATGTCCCACTGGCTGCGAGACCGAGCTCACTTTGTCCATGCGGAGAAACCCCTGCGCGGACCAGCAGCTGCGATTATCACCGCACAAATTCTCAATGAGCCCTGAACCGTCCACCCTGAACCCTGCACCCTAAGCCCCATAAGCTGTATGTGCACTGACCCCTAAACCCTAAACCCTACCTTGAACCCGGAACGCCCTAAACTTCCCAAAAGTCTCTAAGCCCTGGGAGCAAGAGCCCTGGGAATCAAAAAACGGTGACCTGGCTCCCTGAGTCCCGAACTCCTGGACCCCTTAATCTTAATGTAGGTCGGGATACTAGTAATCGCCTTTCTATATAGTCCTTCAATGTATATGGGTGGTGGTCAAAATTATGGTCCCTTTTTGGGTACCCTAAATATCAGCTGCCATACTATAAGAAGGACCCCCAAAAGCGACCATGATTTTGACAACCACCCATAGCCAAGTTAGTGTTGTATCCCCCTCAACCCTTAGCATATTCCCCTTAGCCCACCCTAAACCCTAAACCCCAACCCTGAGCACATTCCGCTTTTGAGGGCATCTTGTAAGATCCTGGGTTGGGTACTTGTGACCGCCTAGGAGACTTCGTGCTATGGTTGATGATAAAAATCCTGCATTCCTTATTATGGGTAATGCAGGATTTATATCATCAACCGTAGGACCCTTGTTGAACAGAAATCCGCGCAAACGATGCAACTCCGGTTTAGGGTTTATATAGAAAAGAATGCTGCAGGGTTTCACCCTGAAGTTATATGCTTGGAGGGACAGTCCTGGGTTAACGATGCGATTCTGAAGTCTCTGGCGTAAAACTCTGAAGCAGAAGCAACTCCCAAAAGTGTGAAGCTTCGCAAAAGGGGTCCTCAAGACGAACTTTGGGAATTAAGGAATTGAGCTGTGCGAGCCGGTTTTGAAAACGCGTTCTGGCAGTTCATGCCGTTGAACAACATTTAACTTTACAACAAAGCGAAATCTGCAACCGCTGACTGAGCTTTCTGGGCATTCCTGGGTTTCATGGGTGGCCATCAGTGCAATGCCGCTGAAGAAAAAACAAAATTTAGTTTGCTCAGAAATGTCACGATGAATCTGCCTGGTAATCGGGGGTTTAAATGAATCAACGCTTCTAACCGCTGCCCTTGACGTGTCATTTGTGCGGTAGTCTTGGTCTTTCTGTGAGCCGTGTTGTGCTTTGGACTGCGTCTTTTGTGTGGTGAGCGGGAGGAAAAACCCTAAAGCCCTGAGTTCTGGCTCGGTCTGTCAGGCCGTCTTTCCCACGAGAAAGACAAGGGCCAGCAAAAAAAAACCCTAAACATCTCCAGAAAAGCGGAGGGACACACTACATTATAGTGATCACTGTCCCCCTGCTGTTACAATTTTACTGATTTTCAAGCAGTCTATATTACAATAGCATTTCCAGATATGATATGAAAACATACAGTGGCATCGCATTCACACGACGGCGGGCGTCTCATCCAATAGCCAAGCCCAGATTAGTCGGCAGCTGTCAGGATTGGCCAGGTCGAGTGGAAGATTCACGCGAGGTATCTGCTTTAAGCTTTCTGTTTCCTGGCAAACCGCAAGAGCCGTTCGATCCCTCTAGTGGTTCATTGACAATTGACAAAGTCTCGCATCATTGTCTCAAGCTTCAGAATGCCTTCCGGTGACACAGACACAGTCACAGTGACAGCCATGTAGAGTTCGTGAAGAGATGCCGTTTGTCGGAGCACTCAGAGCACCTGCCCGGACCTGCCCGAACAACAGCATGCAAAGCACTCTACAGATGCATCATACGCCAAGCCCGTGGCCCTAAACTCACCCTAAACTCTCTCTCTCTCTCTCTCTCTCCTCTCTCTCCTCTCTCTCCTCTCTCTCTCGCTCTCTCTCCTGTTGTCGCCATATATGGTGCAACGCCTTCTGCCATCAAGGCCGGGTGGACCGTGGCCATTGCACTGCATGCCTTCTGGTTTGTTTTGAATGGGATTTGTGTCCTGCCTGCAGTGGCCATCAGAACCCTAATTCAGATCTCAGGATCTCTTTGGCGTGTTCAGGTTTTGAGGTGTGCCAGGCAGTGCCAGGGCGCATCGAAACAGTTCTGACGGTTCAGGTTAAGCCACAGAGCATGCCAACGAATGTCAAATAAACCATGCTTTGTCATGCTCACTGCTGGCTTGTGTGACTGCTCACGGTGACTCACAGGGGCTTTAATCGGCATGGGTCAGAAGTTCAGAAGTCGATCCAAAGAGAGATGGAAGTTGGAAGTCAGCATTTGTAAGCATCGCTTTCTCTCTTCTAGCATGGCGTCGTCCTCATCGAACATGGCGGAGGCGGAGGTGGCGGATGAGTCGCAGGAGTTGCTGCTGTGTGGCGGCTGTGCGGCCGTTCAGCTTCAGCTCTCCCAAGAGCAACGAGATGAGTTGGAAGCATGGATCATCGAGTGCTCGGTGGAAGACTTTCGACAGAGATGGTTTCGCTCTGGGAAAACCCAAGAAATGTTGGAGAAGAAGGCGAACTACATTTTGGAGCTTCTGGAACGAAATCCACCTCGAGAGGATGAGCCCGAGCCCACGGATGACCAGAAGGGGGACAAACCCGATGAAGAGGGCGACGAGAAGGAGGAAAACAAGGATGAGAAAGCGATGAAGGCGACCAAGGCGATGAAGTGAGCAGTTTCGTCTTCTCGGGCTATGATCAACAAGTATCTGCTGAGTTTTTGAGTGCTCGACGAGGGGCCGTGTGCAGTTTGTAAAGTGTGCCGCGTGGGTTTCCCGATACCACCCTAAGGCCTGGGTTTCCCCCCCTATCCGGGGTCGTTTCCGGGCCGTGGTGCTTTTCCTTTAGGACAGTGACAGTAGTGCCCTGCCGCAGGTCATCGCCCATGGTCCATGGTGGTGGTGCCTGGTCCTTGGTCCTTGCAAAGTGCAGCCTTGGGTCGTCTGTGTTAGGAGTGCAGCCCTGTAGGAGTGCTTGCAGCCCCTTCCGTAGGCCGCCCTAACCCTCACCCTCCACTGCCCTGCCCAGGCCCGGACCTTCTTCGTGCTGGGCGCCGAACCTTCTTCGGTTTTTTGTTTCGGATTTCGGCGGGGTTGGGGTGGTTGGGGTTCTCTGGCTGTCTGTGCGCGCAGGAGTACCTTGCTGCTATCCCCACCCCTCCCCCACCTCGCATAACTAGGACGTTTTGCGTTTTTGCTTCCCCGCCTTTGTTCCCGGGAACCCCGGGCCTCACCTCGCCTCAGGCGTCAGGCCTCAGGCCTCTTCTTCGATGGATCGCGATGCTGCCCGTGGACGTGGCGTGCCCGGAGCCCAGTGTGAAGCCTAGGCTCCTTAGGTCCTTTGGTTCCAAATTTCCAAAGCCCCTATTGGCCCACTTTCCATGTGCCTCTCCGTGTCATGTTGTGCAGCGCCTCGCTTTTGACTCTGCAGCCTTGGATACTGAACCCAAACATGTACCGGTCGCCTGTCTGTTGGGCTCAATTATTCGAAGGACTGGTTAGCCGGTGGTTTGCCATTGCTTGCTAGATTTTTTGGCAGCAGCTGACATGTCGAAGAAGCTGGTCACTGCTAATCTGGCGTCGTTGATCGTGACCATCAGTCAGAAAAGGCGTGCTCTGGAAATCCAGGAAGAAGCATCGTACGACACGACTGATGAGATGGATGACTTGACTTATGGCAAACAAGTCATTGCTGACACACTGGCCGGCTTGACCCTGAAGGATTACCGCAAGGCCTATATCCTGCTTTTATGACGAGCCGACAAAAGATCGGCCTTCTCGGCGCTTTCGGCTATGACCAAGTGTAGACTGAATCAACACTGGCGGCTGTGAACATGTGCTTGAGTGCTGCCGAGGGTTTCCCGAAGCCCACCCTTTTGTCCCGGTTTACCCGAACCCCTAAGTCTTATTCAGGGCTGCCCTAACCCTTTGAAAGATGTAGGAGTGCCTGACGAGTGCTTTGTGCTTTCCTTTTGCCCCTTAGCCTTAGCCCTTCCTATCCTCCAAGCTCCAAGCCTGACCCCTTGCCATGCTGCCCAGGTTGGACCTTCATAATCTTCGCGGTGGGCCTGGGCCTCGTTCGTGGTGTTTTGTTTTAGGCTTGTGGTCGGCTTGGTTGAATGTGTGACTTTTTCGGCCGGGGTTTCGTCTGCGCAAGTGACTGCTCTGTCCCCACCCGCCCCACCCTCCCACCCCACACAACCTTATGTGACCGGTAATTACTGCTGCCTCTGACCTTTTGTGCCTGACTGCCCTGCACTTCCTTTGGTCGAGGTCTCTTGGTCGGCGGCGCGGCGCTGGCTAGTTCTTCGTCCGATTGGGAGGTGCGAAGAGGGTTGGGCTTGAGTTGGTTTTGGTTTGTGTGGCCTTTCATTTGGGGTCGGGGTGTCGTACGCGCGGCATGATTGGGTGATGATGGTAGGCGGGTTTTTGTTTGGGGCTTGAGGCTTAGGGTTACAGGGCCTTTCGGACTTTCGGGACTTTCGGGGGTAGTTTGATTTCGACACTGGGCTTGGGGGGTTGCTTGATCTTGGCATTGGGTTCGGGGGCAGTGTGTTTTGAAGCTATTGGGCATTGTTATTGTAGCATGATATGATTGCATGACATTTGACATGCCATGCCTTATCGGCTCTCGATCCGCAATGCCCAACTACTACGTAACTACGGACGCAAGCTGTGCATTGTTGGGGTTCTTATAGTTTAGTAGGAATCGGAAAGTTTAACCTTTCATTTGTGCATGTGGATTATTGGGGGAGTAAGTGGAGTCATCATGATTGAATCAAGCAAACCCTGAATTAAACATGGCCCATCCAGCATGTCCCGCATTATCTAGGTGCGCAGTCCTAGGTCCTAGACCTTGCATGCTTCCGCGATTCCGCGATGTCGCTTTTTTCTGACGTTTTCTGCAAATCATGGATACCTCAACCTCTGTTGAGATTACACTCTTGAGTGGCAGGGCGACCACGCTTGCAGTTGAGAAAGACGAGTCGCTGGAATCACTGAAGAAGCGTGCGCAGACGGCACTTGGAGTAGGAACCGGCAGGCTAGTTGATTC